TCCAGGGGACTTGCAGGAGTCTTCTCCAGCACCATAGTTCAAAGGCCTCCATTCTTTGGCGTTCAGCCTTTCTTATGGTCCAACTTTCACAGCCATACATTGCAACTGGAAAGCATAGCCTTGACTATACGTACTTTTGTTGGCAGGGTGACGTCTCTGCTTTTTAGTGTGCTGTCTAGATTTGCCACAGCTTTCCTCCCCAGGAGCAAGCGTCTTTTAATTTCTTGGCTGCAGTTTCCATCTGTGGTGATCTTGGAGCCCAGAAAGATAAAATCTATCACAGTGGTTCTCAACCTGTGGGTCGGGACCCCATTTGGGGTCAAACGACCATTTCACGGGGGTCGCCAAACAACGCAGTCCGCCATTTCCCCCCCCTTTTCCTTAGCTGTGCTACTCCCTTTTATTCTATTGGCTTTTGAAAGCCAATAGAATAGACTCTCTTGAATAGAGTCTAATTCTATTGGCTTTCAAAGCCAATAGGAATTGTCCAGGCTGTCTCTGCCCTGCTGAGCCCTCCAAAAGTCCCATTCTGCAAACGGTGCTGCGCCAGTTGAGTAGTCCTCGACTTACGACCGGTTGAGTAGTCCTTGACTTACGACCGGTTGGGGGTCGCGGCATTAAAAAGGTTGAGAACCACTGATCTATCACTATTCATTGAAGTAGAGAGACCTAATTCCTCAACAGATAGCTGCTGTAGTATTTAGTTAAGTTTCTTTTCCTCCCTCCCCAAAAAAACTATTGGGCAGAAAGGATATATTTAAATAAGCCCAGCGAGGATCAGGATTTCCAGCTCCTTTCCACCCTGCTAAAACATCATTCTTCTCTTTCTTTAAAATGTTTCTTTCCGTTCCTGCAAACCAGCTTGTCTGCCCTGAACCGTGTTAGTCTGGGGGCCGGCTCATCATCAGGCAGAGAGAGGTCAGCGGCCAGACCTGGCCTAGTGACTGAACCTCAGCAAAGTCAACAAGGCTGGCGGTTGCTTATAAATTCTCGGAAACCCGTCTCCGTAATTGCCAGAGTTCAGAAACAGAAGAACTTGGGAAAAGCCTGAGTAATGTTACACACGCAAGGAAAAGGGGGCTGTGGGAAATTGCTCCACCTGCCAAAATCCAGACGGCCAGAGGGCTTGTCGCGTTAGGGACGCCCTTCGACGGGGGTTCGGTTGCTGAGCAAGCCATTTTCACGGACGCTTTCCAAGGAGATCTCCCGTTTTCCTAATTCCCGACTATCACGGATGGGATCCTTAGCCTAAGGTTACTTTCCCTCTCTTGAATGGGTAAATGAATGGCTAGCGCAGGGGGCTCTTCAAACTTGGCCCTTTGATGACTTGTGGACTTCAACTCCCAGAATTCCTCAGCCAGGCACATGGAATTCTGGGAGTTGAAGTCCACAAGTCATCAAAGGGCCAAGTTTGAAGACCCCTGGGCTAGAGAAACGTGGATTGAGGCCAGCTCGCCTGACAGTGGTGTTACAGGAAGTGGAAACATCCTTCAAGAATTGGGAGGCTGCTACAAGCCGAGTGCTCGGCCCCGCCAAGAAACTGGTACAGCAGTCCTTGAGTTACAACGGTTTGTTTAGAGACCAAAGTTACAAGGGCACTAAAAAAAAAGGGACGTACGATCATTTTTCACACTCCAGACCACTGCAGCATCCCCAGCGTCACGTGATCAATATTCAAGATGCTTGGCAACCGGCTCGTATTTATGACGGTCGCTGCGTCCCGGGTGTGTGTGTGTGTGTGTGTGTGTGTCACATGATCCCTTTTTGCAACCTTCTGACAAGCAAAGTCAATGGGGAAGCCTGATTCACTTAACCACCAGGTTCCTAACTTAACAGCTTGCAGTGATTCACTTAACAACTGTGGTGAGAAAGGTAGTAAAATGGGGTAGAATTCTGCTTCGCTAAGCGGCAGAAATTTTGGGCTCAGTTGTGGTCGTAAGTCGAGGACCACCTGTATCAGGATTGTTTTATTATCGTTTCCTTTCTGTATCTGATGTTTCTGATCCTTCCTTGCTGCCTGGAATCCTCTGGCAAGGGGAGAGGGTGATGTCAATCAAAACCAACCAATCATGTCAAAGAAATCAGAAGGGAGTCACGTGATCCCCTTTTGCCAGCTTCTGACGAACAAAGTCAACGGGGAAGCCAGATTCGCTTAAGAACTGCGTTACTCACTTAAGAATTGCAGTGATTCACTTAACAACTGTGGCAAGCAAGGGGTTGTGATTCCTCGCCAGCCAGTGGACCTGGCAGCTGAGGAATCAGAGGAGGAGGAGGAAGGCTCTGAGGAGTCAGAGGAAGGCTCTGAGGAGCTCCAAGACTTACAGTCGGACAAGGAACCCGGCCCCTCTACTCACGCTCAGGCTGAGACACGGCTGTGCTGGGAGTGAGTTGGACAGTGATGAAGAATAGCTGGGACAAATCCCGGATGCACGAAGGCGCAGGCAAGAGAAGCGAGTAGGACAGAGGAATGCAATGGGGCGGCTCCAAAGGCAAAGGAGAAGGCATTAGGAAGCCACGCCTTAGCTGCATAATAAAAGGGAAGGTGTGGGAGGTGCTGGTTGCCAAAGGCAACCGTTCGTATTGAGGATCGAGTTTCTGTGGACTGTGTTTTGTTTGCCTTGGACATGGACTCAGGTCTGTGAATAATAAAAGGGGATTGGTTTTTTTCCTGCGGTTCCAGCCTGCTTTTTTGGAAGAGGGGTTTCTCCTTGTGAGCGTAACAAGGATTCACGTAGGCTGGGACAGAACAAAAGGTTGTAAAGTGGGACAAAATTCATTTAACAACTGCCTTTCTCAGCAGTGGAAATTTTGGGCTCAGCTGAGGTTGTAAGACGAGGACTACCTGAACTGTCTTTCCCATGTCTCTTCCTAAAAGCTGACCTGGCTCACCAACATACTAACGTCAGTCCTCATTTTATAACCGTTTAACAAAGTTATAGCAGCCTGGGGAAAAAACGACTCGAGATCAATTGGCAAAGTTACAACTCTCGCACCAGCCTCAGGCACACGATCACAACTTGTGCACTCAGCAACCGGCTCACGTTTGGGATGGCTGCAGTGTGTTGTGGTCCCAAGGTCACAATTTGTGACCTTCCCAGCCAGCAAGTGAAGTCAATTGGGGAAGCCGAATTCTCTTAACAACCACACGAGTCACTTAACAAACATGTGATTCACTTAACGACCACGGTGAAGGTGGTTATAAAGTTGAGTCCAGTCCCATGGCACATTTTATGGCCGCCCTGAAATTCTAGCCCCAACTGCGGTCGTTAAGCCGAGGACCACCAGTAGCAGAGGCAAATGAGGTCGAGCTTGCAGTTGCCTGCCCTGTTCCCTCTTTCTCCTCATTTGTGACCTTGGGTGCATTGTGTAGTACTTGTATTCACCAATTATTTCTTCTCTTTTTTTCTTTTGCTGGTTCTGGATGTGAAGAGTGCTATGCATTTAATCAAATGAAACCATTATTTTATCTTTATTTTTTTAGGTTTTTGATTTTCTGGGGAGACTTGAGTGGGAAGTTGATAAAATATTCACTCTCCATGGAGCGATGTCTGACTTTTTTGTAGGACAGGCTTAGGATACAGGAGGACCTGGACAGACTTGAACCCTGGGCGCTATCCAACAAAATGAAATCCAATGGTGAAAAAAGTAAGGTTCTACGTTTAGGCAAGAAAAACCAAATGTACAGGTATAGTATAGGGCAGAAATGTCAAACCCGCGATGTCACATGACATCGCACAACGTATCGGGACGGTTTTGCCATTGCCAGCAATGGGGTGGGCGCGGCTTCCATGTGACGCGTCTGGCCCGTGGGCCAGCAGTTTGACACCCCTGGTATAGGGGTACCTTGCTCAATAGTACCAACTGTGAAAGGGATCTCGGAGTCCTAATGGACAATCACTTAAATAGGAGCCAACCGTGTGCTGCAACTGCCTAAAAAGCCAACACAGTGCTCGGCTGCATTAACAGAGGGATAGAATCAAAATCACGTGAAATATTAATATCACTTTACAATGCCTTGGTAAGGCCACACGTGGAATACTGCATCCAGTTTTGGTCACCACGATGTAAAAAAGATGTTGAGACTCTAGAAAGAGTACAGAGAAGAGCAACAAAGATGATTAGGGGACTGGAGGCTAAAACATATAAGGAACGGTTGCTAGAATTGGGTATGTCTAGTTTAACAAAGAGAAGAACAAGGGGGGACATGATAGCAGTATTCCAATATCTCAGGGGCTGCCATAAAGAAGAGGGAGTCAAGCTATTCTCCAAAGCACCTGAAGGCAGGACAAGAAGCAAAGGATGGAAATTAATCAAGGAGAGAAACAACCTAGAACTAAGGAGAAACTTCCTGACAGAACAATTAACCAGTGGAACAACCTGCCTCCAGAAGTTGTGAATGCTCCAACACTGGAAGTCTTTAAGAAGAGACTGGACAGCCATTTGTCTGAAATGGTATAGGGTTTCCTGCCTGAGCAGGAAACTAGATGACCTCCAAGATCCCTTCCAACTTTATTATTATAACAATATTATTATTCTTACCTTTGGCTATGTCTGTTTGGCATTTAATAGTATGTTTGTTTGGTATTTCTTTGGCATCTCATGTGGATAATTACACTTTTAAAAAAAAAGAAAAGAAAATAAAAAGTTCATTGCAGCTCTTTTCAAACGGCCTGGTTTTATTAGAAGTCTGTCAGCCTTCAAAATAGAGGACCGCCTTCAAAAAGTTACATAATTCTCTAATATTTACAATATGGTATAGTATTATGCAATCTCCTATCCACAGTTAGGAAGAACTAACATAGACAGGTAGTTCTCAAGGTACAGCACTTCATTTAGCGAGTGAGTTACAACGGCGCTGAAAAAAGTGACTTACGACCATTTTTCACACTTACGACCATCACAGCACTCTCTGGGGATCACGTGATCAAAATTCAGGCACTTGGAAACTGACTCGTACTTATGACGGTGCCTGTGTCCCGGGGGTCACACGATCCCCTTCTGTGACCTTTCGACAAGCATAGTCAATGGGGGGGGGGAATCCAGATTCACTTAACAACGGTGTTACTACCTAACATCAGCAGTGATTTGCTTAACGACTGTGGCGTGAAAGGTCATAAAATGGGAGAAACCATAAACCGAGGACAGCCTGTATTAACAAGGATTCAGGGATTCCCTACTATGCTCTCTTCTTAGTACAGGTAGTCCTCAACATACGGCCACAACTGAGCCCAAAATTTCCGTTGCTAAGTGAGACATTTGTTAAGTGAGCTTTGCCCCCTTTTACGACCTTTCTCACCAGGGTTAAGCGGAACACTGCAGTTGATAAGTTAGTAAGCTGGCTGTTCAGCGAATCCGTCTTTCCCTTGTTGACTTCACGTGTTGGAAGGTCGCAAAAAGGGATCACGTGACCCCGGGAAGCTGCGACCGTCATAAATACGAACCAGGGATTTTGATCACGTGACCTTTAGGGCTGCTGCCACCGTCGTTAACTATGAAAAAAGGTCGTAAGTCACCTTTTTCACCGCCGCTGTAGCTTTGAACGGTCAGGAAACAAACTGTTGTAAGTTGAGGACGGCCTCGTAATGCAATTTGTGGCAGAAATAAATTAAAGGAAACATTAATTTCTATATTCAGTTTTTTTAAAATGATTCGTTAAACGAACTGGAAGCCCAGACTCTCTTCCACCTGCCAGATCGCAATTTTCCCTTCTTCCTTTCCGCCTCCACTCAAGACGTATCGATCCTCTGCGGAGCACAAGGACTTCACGACATCTGGGTGTCCGACCAGCTCTTTTTCCACCAGTCTCCTTTCCATATCCACCACGTAGACCTTCCCTTTGACCTTCCCTTGGGAGAGTCCTCGGCCACCGACCCACATCTGGAAAGGAAATAAAGCTTTTAGGACAGGGGTAGGCAACCTTGGCTCTTTTAGGACTCGTGGACTTCAACTCCCAGAATTCCTGAGCCAGCCATGCTGAGGGGACAGGGAGAGGTTTCCAAGCTGAGCCATGCTGGCTCAGGAATTCTGGGAGTTGAAGTCCACGAGTCAGAAAGCGGCCTAGGCCTAGGCCAGAGGTAGGCAACCTTGGCTCTTTTATGACTCGTGGACTTCAACTCCCAGAATTCCTGAGCCAGCCATGCTGAGGGGAAAGGGAGAGGTTTCCAAGCTGAGCCGTGCTGGCTCAGGAATTCTGGGAGTTGAAGTCCACCAGTCATAAAAGAGCCCAGGTTGCCTACCCTGTTTTAGGACATGCATCTAGTAGAGGCCTGGAAGGGAAAAGGAGGCGCATGAACTCGTCTGTTACACTTTTGGCATTGATTAAACTAAATGTTCTTTTTTTTTTTTTTTTTGCAACAAGCACACATGCTGGCTGGGGGACTCAGGGAGCTGAGATCCACACATCTTAAGAGTTGCCAGGTTTGAGAAACACCAGACTAGACAATTGGAGTGACGATGTTAGCTCATGCCCTCATATTAGATGTTCTCTAAAATGGGAAAAAAATATTTCAGGGTGTATTTCTGGTTTTACACCTGCTGGTATAAATGTAAGTAAAATGATCATTCACTGCCTCCTAGTGGTAAAGCCATGGATAAAGTCACAGTTACACAGAGCAGAGCAGAGCAGAAGTCTGGCCCCATAATAGGTGATTTATTAAATAAATCACATTAAATGTTCAGTTGGATTGCCGCTTTCTTCTAAACACTTCCTTCTCTCTTTGAGCCAGCTTTGAACAATTTTATCTTTATTAACCAATAAAATAGGCTGTAATTGGTCTACGAAAGCGGATTCTTGTCCAACCTGTCCTTTTGAACACTTAAGTCATCTGTACAGTTTTGAAAAAAAATCTGTCCTTTATTGATTTTTATAAATATTGAAGGTAGCAAATATATCTAGTACTCCTTCTTCCTCTTCTTTTTCCCACGACAACCCTGTGAGGTGGGTGGGGCTGAGAGAGAGTGAGTGACTGGCCCACCCAGCTGGCTTTCATGCCTAAGGCGGGACTAGAACTCACCGTCTCCTGGTGATTGGCCCAAAGTCACCCAACCAGCTTTCATGCCTAAGGCGGGACTAGAACTCACTGTCTCCTGGTGATTGGCCCAAAGTCACCCAGACAGCTTTCATGTCTAAGGCGGGACTAGAACTCACCGTCTCCTGGTGATTGGCCCAAAGTCACCCAACCAGCTTTCATGTCTAAGGCGGGACTAGAACTCACCGTCTCCTGGTGATTGGCCCAAAGTCACCCAGACAGCTTTCATGCCTAAGGCGGGACTAGAACTCACCGTCTCCTGGTGATTGGCCCAAAGTCACCTTGCTGGTTTTCACGGCGAAGGTGTGACTAAAACTCATGGTCTCCTGGTTTCTGTCCTGGTGTCTTAACCACTAGGACCAAACTGGCTCTCATTTTAAGCAAACAGATGGACTTGTGGTCACCCACAACACTCCCATTTTGGCCAAAATCACTACAAAAAGCCAGCAGAACCAAAACAAAAAAAAAAAACCTAGCAAGAAGAATTCCTACACACTTGGCGCACCTGACTTTTCACTTTGATCGCGCAGGTGATTTCTGAACAGTCTGACAGCTTCAGCTTCTGTAAGGGGGTTGAGAAATCCTCCATGTTCCAGATCAAGAGCTCACTGCTGCCGGACCACGAAGCCCACGCTTCATCCCGCTAAGGCCAAAATGGAAAAAAAGCAGGCAGCATCAGACAACCATGTCAAATAGAGCCGGGGTGGCACAGTGGTTAGATTGCAGTACTACAGGCTACTTTTGCTGACTGCCAGCAGTTTGGCAGTTTGATCCTGACCGGTTGACTCAGCTTTCCATCCTTCTGCTGCCCACAGCCAGCAGTTCGATCCTGACCGGCTCAAGGTTGACTCAGCTTTCCATCCTTCTGAGGCTGGTAAAATGAGGACCCAGATTGTTGGGGACAATAGGCTGACTCCATAAACCGCTTAAAGGGGGCTGTAAAGCACTGTGAAGCGGTATATAAGTCTAAATGCTATTGCTTTTCCTCCCTCCCTCCCTCCCTCCCTCCCTCCCTCCCTCCCTCCTTCCTTCCTTCCTTTGTGGCACAGTGGTTAGAATGCAGTTTTGCAGGCTGAGTCTGCCCACAGCCAGCAATTCGATGCTGACCGGCTCAAGGTTGACTCAGCCTTCCATCCTTCTGAGGTCGGTAAAATAAGGACCCAGATTGTTGGGGGCAAGAGGCTGACTCCGTAAACCGCTGAGAGAGGGCTGTAAAGCACTGTGAAGCGGCATATAAGTCTAGGTGGTATTGCTATTGCTTCCAAATGTTGATCACGGAACCAGGGAAATGCTGCAACAATTCTAAGTGTGAAAAATGATCAGAAGTCACTCTTTTTTAAATGCTGTTGTAACTTCGAACATTCACTAAATGAATGGGTGTAAGTCAAGGACAACCTGTAACAGGATCCCTGCACTCAGAAGAGACTGAAAAAAAGAAAAGGAAAGGGAGGAGAGGAGAGGGCGGAAAAGAAAAAAGCATGCCACTTACGCCCAGGTATATAAGTATATAAGTCTAAGTGCAAATCTAGACAGCATACTAAAAAGCAGAGACGTCACCCTGCCAACAAAAGTGCGTATAGTCAAGGCCATGGTTTTCCCAGTTGCAATATATGGCTGTGAAAGGTGGACCATAAGAAAGGCTGAGCGCCAAAGAATGGAGGCCTTTGAACTCTGGTGCTGGAGAAGACTCCTGCGAGTCCCTTGGACTGCAAGGCGATCAAACCGGTCAGTCCTAGAGGAGATCAACCCCGACTGCTCTTTAGAAGGCCAGATCCTGAAGTTGAACCTCAAGGACTTTGATCACCTAATGAGAAGGAAAGACTCACTGGAGAAGGGCCTAATGCTGGGAAAGATTGAGGGCAAGAGAAGAACAGGACGATAGAGAATGAGGTGGCTGGATGGAGTCCCTGAAGCAGTAGGTGTGAACTTAAATGGACTCCAGAAGATGGTAGAGGACAGGAAGGCCTGGAGGAACGTTGTCCATGGGGTCGCGATGGGTCGGACATGACTTTGCAACTAACAACAACAACAACAACAATAATAAAGTCTAAGAGCTCTTGCTAGTGCTATATTCCAGATTGTGGACTTTGCTTGAAGCTGCAACAGCCCATGTAGAATTACAAGTAGCCCTCGGCTTAAAATGATTCATTTAACGACCGTCCAAAGTTACAGCAGCACTGAAAAAAGTGGCTTGTCACACTTACAACCATTGCAGCATCCTCGTGGTCACGTGATCAAAATTTGGACGCTTGGCAACTGATTCACATTTATGACGGACGCATGTATGTATACCCTGGGGTCACGTGATCCCCTATTGCGACTTTCTGACGCACAAAGTCAACGGGGACAGCCAGATTCGCTGAATGCTATTAACTCAACTGCTGTCATGCCTCCATCTGACCCTGAATCTGCTGAGGAAAATGAGCTGGAACGGGACCCTGTAGAGGTCGAGGGAGAGGTGTCTGTGGCTTCAGAGGAATGTGGGGAAGAGCAGGCCGAGGCAGGCCAGGGCCCTTCAGCAGTGGGACAGGAGGAACAGGAGAGGCAGAGTTCAGGCAATGAGCAAGGGTCACCCCCTCCTGATCCTAGAGCATGGAGAGTGGAGAGAAGGAGGGAACAACGCAGGCAGGCTCAACTACTTGGGAGGAGAGTGTCCCGCCCCTCTCCACAAGGCACACCTGGAGACTGAGATTTAAGGAGACACTGTGGGAAGAGGCATTTGTCGGGAACAAACGCTGATTCCTTGGAGTGTTGTGGGTATTGTTGCTGATCTCTTGTTCTGTGACTTCTGTTTAGAAACCTAGAAATTGGATTGACTGACCACGTTACTTGAATATTTAAAGACCTCAGATTGTATTTTGGGATTCTCTCTTTTGAAAGCTGCTCAGGCAAGCTCGGATTCAAACAGACTCGTTAAGTTTGTGTTTTCTTCCTTGTTATCTCAATGGCCTTGAGTACTTTCTTATGCTAATCAGACTGTATTTGAACCTACTTCTAGCCAGAGTCGGCTGAAGGTGTGTGTGTGTGTGTGTGTGTGTGTTTTTGTTGGAGGCTTGTCAGCAAAAGTGGGAGCATTGGGGGAAAATTTGGAGCAATAAATTGTTGGAGGCTCGCCAGCAAAAGTGCGAGCATTGGCGGAAAATTTGGAGCAATAAATTGTTGGAGGCTTGCCAGCAAAAGTGGGAGCATTGGGGGAAAATTTGGAGCAATAAATTGTTGGAGGCTCGCCAGCAAAAGTGGGAGCATTGGGGGAAAATTTGGAGCAATAAAAGAACTGTTTGAACTGCCAGCTGACTGCATTGCCTCTGTGCTGTGCCCTGGGTCATCACAACTGCATTGATTCACTTAGCAACGGTGGCAAGAAAGGTCGTAAAATCGGGCAAAGTTCGCTTAACGGCTGTCTCGCTTAGCAACAAAAAAATATTGGCCTCGATTGCGGTCGTACGTTAAGGACGACCCATGCCACGCTAGGAACAGGTTACCTCAGGAAACAACTGGAAGCAGAGCAAAGGCGTCGGGAGTCCGGTGGGCACGTTCTGCAGCCTCAGCTTTTGGCGAACCAGCCCGTTTGTGGTGACCACAACGATGTCGTCTTGTATACCTTAAAGCAAACAGACAACACAAGAGTTTAGGGCTGGAAATAACCCCACCAAAACAGACGGTGACACAGGATGGCGGTGAAAAGCAAAAGGGCTCTAAGTGGTAAACATGGAATTAATCCCATCCGGTTAAATTCATGGGAATAAAACTGGGGGGGGGGCTGCATAGAGGAAATCTTAGGGCCATAACTGAGCCTGGAATTTATTTATTTATTTATGAGACTTATATACCGCTTTAAGTGCAAGCACTCTCTAAGCGGTGTACACCAGTAAGCAATGTATATATATATTTACATTGCCCCCAACAATCTGGGTCCTCATTTTACCTACCCCGGAAGGATGGAAGGCTGAGTCAACCTTGAGCCGGTGAGATTTGAACCGCTGACCTGCTGAACACAGTCAGCTCAAGTGGCCTGCAGTACTGCACTCTAACTGCTGCGCCACCTCCGCTCAATTGCAGTCGTAACTCGTGCTGGTTGTGAAGCGTGCTGTTATGTACTTGACCTGATTTTATTTTATTTTTCTCAGTGGTCGTTAAGCGAATCCATGGTCATTAAGTGAACCCACTGGCCGTAATGGGCATTCTAGATGGAAACCGGAAGTAAATGCCGGTTTCCAGCCAAAAAAAAAGTCACAAATCACATTCGTGTAACCATGGGATGCTGCAAACAGCTGTGACAGGTGGCAGGTTGCTAAGCAACCAAAATGCAATCATGTGACCCCGGGAGGGAAGGAGGGAGGGCCCTGGCCACCCGCACTTCAAATCCACCCGGGAGCCGTGCGGGAAACTCACAGCACCAAAGCCGGTTCTTGTAGAACTGAATTGAAGTCACCGTTTCGTAAGGCAGCTGGAATCGACGGTTCACTTTCAAAGTGCTGATGTTCCAAGCAATGACTGTGCCGTCCACGCTGCAGGAATACGCCTCGCTGCTCAAAGGGGTTAAGAGAATACACTTCTTACAAACCGATGCAAAAATCAGCACAAGTAGCCCTCCGGTGACGGCCAGAATGGAGCCTGTGCTAAGACGTGATAGTCGTAAATCACGTTCGCCTACAAGACCGACCCAATTTTAGGGCCGTTTTGAGGGGGTTGTGGTTTGCTTCAGGGAGGCTTTGCCAAAAACCCAGAAGTAAATGGAAGTTTTTGACAAAAAAACCGGCATGAAATGTTGTCACGGGACTGCAGGATGCCAGAAAAGAGCTGTAAATGTGAGCTGGTTGCAGAGGCACATGACCTCGGCGAGGGATCCATCAGAACCTTGAAACCAAGTCAGAAGTACCCCAGGAAGGTCAGTCATAACTCTGAACAGGCCCTAAGTGGCTGGTCATAAATCAAGGACTCGCTCTATGGCAGATCCAATCTCTACTGTTTCTTTAGACTAACACTGGAGGTCTTCCAAGAAGAGACTGGACAGCCACTTGTCTGAAATGGTATAGGGTCTCCTGCTTGAGCAGGGGGCTGGACTAGAAGACCTCCAAGGTCCCTTGTAGCTCTTCTGTTAGTCCAGTGGTTCTCAACCTGTGGGTCGGGACCCCATTCGGGGTCGAACGACCATTTCACGGGGGTCGCCAAACAACACAGTCCGCCATTTTTTCCCCCTTTTCCTTAGCTGTGCTACTCCCTTTTATTCTATTGGCTTTTGAAAGCCAATAGAATAGACTCTCTTGAATAGAGTCTAAATCTATTGGCTTTCAAAAGCCAATAGGAATTGTCCAGGCTGTCTCTGCCCTGCTGAGCCCGCCAAAAGTCCCATTCTGCAAACGGTAGTTGAGTAGTCCTTGACTTACGACCGGTTGAGTAGTCCTCAACTTACAACCGGTTGGGGGTCATGGCATTAAAAAGGTTGAGAACCACTGTGTTAGTCAATTCCCAAATAAGGTCTGCCTTAATTTTTGCTACAGGAAAGTTTAATGCAGGGGTCCCCAACCTGCTAGTGCCGTCCTGAGCATCCCACTGGTGCTAGCACCACCCCAAGCATCCCGACGGCACTAGCATCACCTGCCCCAGAGCATCCCACCGGTATTAGCGCCAGCCCATTTGCAGCACTCGCGCCCATGCAGCCGTTTGCGTGTGCACATGCGCTCGCGTGTGGCTCATTTGTGCGCATGTGCATGAGGGTTATTTTTACATGAGTGTGCATTTGCACACACGCACATAGCAGTGCCTGCCTCCCTTTGCGGGCTGGGTTGGAGACCTTTCATTTTTTTAGCATTCGTTGGAAGATCTTTCAGCGGGAAATTATCCCACTGGAAAGTTAGTCCCCAGGCCGTCTGCACCTGGGAGCTAAACCGGTCCTTGCCCAATTGTGGACTTTCCAGATCAGCTCTTCCTATCACTGCCTCCTCCCGAAGTTCTTTCTCTGGATTTTTAATAAGGGACACACACACACACACGCACACCTCCACCCACCTGGGGAGGCTCTCTCTGTTATCCACCACGATGTCCACAATTTCAAAGCGATGGTCGTTCAGCTGCTTATTGCAAGACATGCTGTGAGTGTTGATCAAATAAATGACGGAATCTGCAGAGCCGATCCAAACTTGACTTTGTTCTGCCATGATCATACATTTCTGAGGAAAGGAAAGGAAAGGAAAGGAAGGGAAGGGAAGGGAAGGGAAGGGAAGGGAAGGAAGGAAGGGAGAGAGAGAGAGAGAGACAGAGACAGAAAGAAAAGAAAGAGGAAAGAAAGAAAAAAGAAAGAGGAAGGAAGGAAAGAAGGAAGGAAGGAAAAGGAAAGAAAGAAAGAGAGAGAGAGAGAAAGAAAGAAAGAAAGAAAGAAAGAAAGAAAGAAAGAAAGAAAGAAAGAAAGAGGAAAGAAAAGGAAAGAAAGAAAGAGGAAGGAAAGAAAGAAAGAAAGAAAGAAAGAAAGAAAGAAAGAAAGAAAGAAAGAAAGAAAGGAAGGAAGGAAGGAGAGAGGGAGAGAAAGGAAGGAAAGAAAGACAGAAAGAAAGAAAGAAAAAGAAAGAAAGAAAGAAAGAAAGAAAGAAAGAAAGAAAGAAGGGGAAGGAAGGAAGGAAGGGAAAGGAAAGGAGGAAGGAAGGAAGGAAGGAAGGAAGGAAGGAAGGAAGGAAGGAAGGAAGGAAGGAAGGACCAGCCATGTAATGCAAAACTTCTCAAGAATCTACTGTATGTTACTTTTTCCATCTTTTATTTACTAAAAATCTACTTGTATATGGGGAATATTAATTATTTCAGTATATTAGTTTATTAATTACATTAGTTAATTATATGGCCAACCAACTCAGACACAGTTCCCAGAGGCAGGCGGGATACATCATTAGTGACTACATAACAGTTACTAAAATATATTATATATTAAACTAGGTCAAAGCTTGGGATAATAGGAGCAAGGTTATAAAGTAGGAGTCAGTGACTAATTGGGATCGATAGCTATAAATTGCAGGTACTGCACAAACACAACCTCTGTACCTTATACAGTGTCATTTACAGCTTACAGAAACCAATCAACAATTCTTCAGCAGCTAATCTTCCTAAGATAAAAAGTGAAGTGCTCTCCAGAACAGAAACGTCTACTCATTAGGAGCAGCACCTGTTAATTGCTTTAATATGCAGTCTTTTAGGGAGGGAGATCCCCAAAACAAACATGGCTTTCTTCAAAAGGAGAGGCTGGAAAAGGACACCTGGTCCAGGGTCAAGTGGTTTTGCTTGTTTAATGACATGGTCCTTCCTCTCCTGGGTCATGAAACAAGGAAGACCACCTTAAGGAAAAACACATTCACCAGCAAATTCCCTGCCTACCCCTGAGTTTTGCTAGCAATCAGCAACCTACTTTCAACTTAAGGAGTTGTAATACTAGTACACGGGTCGGCAACCCACGGCTCCAGAGCCGCATGTGGCTCTTTGAGCCTTCTCCTGCAGCTCCTAGCCTCCCCTGCCATTTGCAGAAAGACTGAGACAGAGAGAAGCACTTGCGCTTCCCTTCTCTCTCTCTCTCTCTCTCTGTGTGTGTGTGTGTGTGTGTGTAAAGAAGAGAGTGGCCTCACGCTGTCCTCCAACAAGCTGACAAGCTTATTGGGCGGGGCTCCTGCCTTTGCTGTGTCTCAGCAGGAAGCAGGAAGCAGCCGGAACCAGGAAGCAGCAGCTCTCTGTCTATCTCTGTCTGAGAGAGAGAGAGAGAGAGAGAGAGAGAGAGAGAGAGAGAGAGAGAGAGAGAGAGAGAGAGAGAGAGAGAGAGAGAACTCATGCAGCAGCCTTTATTTCTTTTTAATTAAACTCTTCAATCAAACTCCCTGACTCTTATGCGCGTACACACACACAAGTTTTGTAGCTCCCAGTGTTTTCTCTGGGAAATAGGTCCAAGTGGCTCTTTTGAGTGTTTAAGATTGCCAACTCCTGGTCTACCATGTTTCCCAACATCAGAAACTCTAAGATGTATGGATTTCAACTCTCAAAATTGCCCAGCCAACCAGCCGGCTGGGACATTTTGAGAGTTGAAGTCCACATATCTTAAAGTTGCTGAGGTTGAGAGACACAGTACTATGAATAAACAGGCCAATGTGAAGGGCCCAAAGCCTTGTCTGCTAAAACAAATGAAAACACATTAAAACAGGACGGGAGACTTGAGAAGTTTGAAAGCTGTCTAAGTCCCAAAGGTGTTTTTTTTTCAAAAGGCAACTGGACTTTTGTTTTTTTCTTGAAGACGTTTCGCTTCTCATCCAAGAAGCTTCTTCACGTTCATGATGAAGTTCAGTTCTTCAGAACTGAAGAAGCTTCTACGATGGGAAACAAAACCTCTTCAAGGAAAAATAAAGAAAGTCTGGTTGCCTTTTGGAAAAACGCCTTTGGGACAACCGTAACCCGGATGGCCAAGAACCTCCACAGACTTGGAAAGATGTCTAAGAATGATTTGAAAACTTCCGTGATCGTTCCATCGTCAACGTCACCTACCAGCTTAGCGCTCCCCACTTTGAAAGAATGCTGCAGAGACCACGAGGATGCATCGAAGACCACCACTTTCCCTCCGTTCAAAGCGCACCACAGTTTTGGATGGGCATCTCCGAGTTTTTCTGTGGATTCAAGCTGGCCTAAAGATGGGAGAATGTTTATGTTAAATACTTGGAATCGGAACGATATCCTCAAGATTTTCAGTAGCCAAGAACGCTCTGCTGTCAACCTCCTTGGTCCAGTCTGCAGGACGGGCAACCGAGAGGGACTGTAGCAACACGTGTGATGTGGCAACAAGAAATGCTACTGAATAGGGTTGGAAGGGACCTTTGAGGTCTTCTAGTCCAACCCTCTGCTGAAGCAGGAGATCTTACAGCAGTCTAGTCAAGTGGCTGTCCAGTCTCTTCTTGAAAACCTCCAGTGATGGGGTCAACGCTACTAACATCGGATGTTCTTGCGTTGACAACAGATGGAAATGCAGCCATGTTTCTCTTTCACTTTTAGAGTTAGTTGATGCTGGAAGGGGGGATTTGGATGAGAGTCCAGTTACTCGTAACAATAATAACTCAGCCATGGGAACCCAAGGTCATTGGGCCCAGAGTTGATAAAACTTTGGCGGGTTGGAGAGCTGGGGAGAAAGCCCATGCTTCAAGCTAATTGGGAAATGTGATTTATGACTGTTAATTGGAGGAGGGAATTGTGCGTTGCTACTTTGTGCCCAGGGGAGGGGAATTCAGTCTTTGGCTTTCACTATGCAGTGCCGATACTTTGTTTCTCGAATAAAAGATTCTTTAAGGTAAATAGTGCCTCAAAGTTCTTTTGAAGAGTTTCATCTGTCGGAACCATGACAGACGGAGCACCCAGAATTTCTGAAGGCAAGCTATTCCATTGGTTGATTGTTCTCACCTAGGAAATTTCTCCTAAGTTCTAGGTTGCTTCTCTTTTTAATGATCTTCCACCTGTCATTTCTTGTCCTGCCCTCAGGTGCTTTGGAGAACTTCTTCTCTACTCACTCCTTCATTGTGATGTCATTTGCTGAATATCTTCTCATGTTTATAAAGAGAGATCTTGGATTCTGAACAGATCCCACAACACTTCAGGGAAGAGCGATGGCCCAATCTCTCTCTGAGCCATGAAACTGGATGGGTTTAGGCATGCATTTGTCTAAACCCTTGTTTGAGATGCTGTATATTCCCATTTTAATGAACGTAGGAAGTGGGACAGGTACGTCATGAGGTGAGACCACCTTCAGTTCCATACCTGGTGTATAGAGCAAGACTTCCACTGCTTGTGGGAATGTTTCGCCAGCTGATGGGTTGATCTTGTGCTTTAGTGTTTCAGTCGTTGTTTTGGGGACCATCATGGGCACTGGACAAAGAGAAGACATGTATTTTTAAAAATGCTTATAGGGCCAAAAGGAAAAACTGACAGATGGGATACCGTGTTTCCCCCAAAATATGACCAGGTCTTTTTTTTTTTTTTTAGGCTCCAAAAGAGGCAACAGGTCTTATTTTTGGGGTAGGCCTTACCTCACCTCCGGCACCGACAGCCCCACCCAGCTGGTCCGCTTCTTCTGGGGCCAAAGTTCTGCAGCTGCATTCGGGCCTGGATTTTGCAGTCAGGCCTTTCCAGAAGGCCTAAGCAGCCGAGTACCGAGCTATGGATTCAATTCATAGCTTGGTGCTCGGCTGCAGATCTCTTGCAGAACCGAGCCACAGATTCAACCCATAGCTCGGTTCTTGGCTGCAGAGGCCTTCCGGAAAGGACTCTGACAGAGAAATGCAGGCCTGGTTGCAGAAGAGGCCTCAGAAGAAGAAGGAGTGGGCCAGTGAGGAGAGGCCTGGCTACGAGGGCAGGTGGGGCAGCTCTACATCCTCACACCCCCACCCTAGCTTGATTTTTAGGTATGTGTCTCACCCCAAAACTAGGGCTTATTTTGGGGGTAGGTCTTATATTAGGTCCACTTCCAAAAATTAAGCTACGGCTTATTGATGGTGTAGGCCTTACTTTCAGAGAAACACAGTAATCAGGGAGGAAAGGCAAGCTCTTCACAGAGAAAGCCATAGGAATGGTCTACAGCAGTTCTTGGTATCATCATCATCATCATCATCATCATCATAGTAAAGTTGGAAAGGACCTTAGAGGTCATCTAGTCCAACCCCCTGCTTAGGCAGGAAACCCTATACCATTTCAGACAAATGGCTGTCCAGTCTCTTCTTGAAAACTTCCAGTGTTGAAGCATTCACTGCTTCTGGAGGCAGGTTGTTCCACTGGTTAATTGTTCTCACTGTTAGGAAGTTTCTCCTTAGTTCTACGTTGCTTCTCTCCTTGATTAGTTTCCATCCGTTGCTTCTTGTCCTGCCTTCAGGCACTTTGGAGAATAGCTTCTCCCTCTTCTTTGTGGCAGCCCCTGAGATACTGGAACACTGCTATCATGTCCCCCCCTCGTCCTTCTCTTCATTAAACTAGACATACCCAATTCAAGCAACCGTTCCTTATATGTTTCAGCCTAGTCCCCTAATCATCTTTGTTGCTCTTCTCTGTACTCTTTCTAGAGTCTCAACATCTTTTTTACATCACGGTGACCAAAACTGGATGCAGTATTCCAAGTGTGGCCTTACCAAGGCATTGTGGAGTGTATTAACACTTCACGTGATCTTGATTCTATTCCTCTGTTAATGCAGCCTAGCACTGCGTTGGCCTTTTTGGCAGCTTTTTGGCATATTTAGGTGATTGTCCACTAGGACTCCGAGGTCCCTCTCATAGTTACTACTATTGAGCAAGGTACCCCCTATACTATACCTGTACATTTGGTTTTTCTTGCCTAAATGTAGGCAAGAAAAATTGCTTTTTTCACCACTGAATTTCATTTTGTTAGATAGCGCCCAGTGTTCAAGTCTGTCCAGATCCTCCTGTATGCTAAGCCTGTCTTCTGGAGTGTTGGCTATTCCTGCCAGCTTGGTGTCATCTGCAAATTTGATGAGTTCCCCATCTATCCCCTCGTCCAGATCGTTGATATAGATGTTGAAGAGCACTGGGCACCCCACTACACACTTCCCTCCATGTAGATGCGGTTCCACTGAGGACCACCCGCTGAGTACGGCCGGTCAGCCAGCTACGGATCCATCTGGTGGTGATGCTGTCTACCCCACATTTTTCTATCTTGTCAGAGATAGAAAGATCCATCAGCTCACCTTCGTTCTTCATCCTGTCAAAGTAAGAGAGCTTCGAAGCTGCATAGATTACTTTGGATGACTGCAGGGAGCCTACCACGGCATCCATCAGAAGAACGTTGGTAAGGGCTTGCTGAAGATACTGTGGATCCTGAAAGAGAGAGGGGTGGGACGTTGAGGAGAAGCACCCCGACTGCAGCTTGTACATGATACGCATACGAGATCCCACCTTTTACATTTTCCCCAATGTCTACTGGGGGGGGGTCACGTATGGGCCTCTTGATGGAATATCCTGTATGTCAAGAATCCAAACATGAATGCAGAATTTTAGATTTTATTCCTTAAACTAGAACTCTTCGTTCTTGGCCAGAGGAAGCCCGTGTCTGGGGTCCCGGAAGGGATTGATTCAGTTAAAATCCAGGGGGTTGGACTAGAAGACCTCCAAGGCCCCTTCCAACTCTTTTATTTTGTTATTCTTTAATTCTTTGGATCCTTAAAGACTAATCAATATAATTGGCTAATAAAGCCGAAGGAGATGCTTGGAACAAATCCAGGCAGATAAAATGATTGGCATCTTTGAAGAAAATTATTTGACTATTCTTTAGAAAATTGAACAGCTAGAAACTATCTACTCTGCTCTTGCTATCCTTCCCTTTTTTTTTCCTTTTTTTTTGGTTACATCTTTGGAGTATTATTCATCTACAAAGCCAGTTTTGTCCAGCTATGGTTCTGATGTTACTTAGGGTGGGTCATAATAAAACCAGACCAAGGAACACAAATGCCGCAAGTAAGAAAAAATTGGCAGAATTGAACAAATTGTTTGAACCATAGCAGGGAAGACGTTGAGCTTCATTAAAATGGAAGCCTGGATGAAAGTTGCTTTGCTTGCGCAATTATTAATCTTGCCATCTGGAAAAGGCACATGCTAGGCTGCATTAACAGAGGGACAGAATCAAGATCACGTGAAGTGTTAATACCACTTTACAAGGCCTTGGTAATGCCACACTTGGAATACAGTCACCACGATGTAAAAAAGATGTTGAGACTCTAGAAAGAGTGCAGAGAAGAGCAACAAAGAGGATTAGAGGACTGGAGGCTAAAACATATAAGGAACGGTTGCTAGAATTGGGTATGTCTAGTTTAACGAAGAGAAGGACAAGGGGGGACATGATAGCAGTATTCCAATATCTCAGGGGCTGCCATAAAGAAGAGGGAATTAAGCTATTTTCCAAAGCACCTGAAGGCAGGACAAGAAGCAACGGGTGGAAACTAATCAAGGAGAGAAGCAACCTAGAACTAAGGAGAAACTTCCTGACAGTTAGAACAATTAACCAGTGGAACAACCTGCCTCCAGAAGCGGTGAATGCTCCAACACTGGAAGTTTTTAAGAAGAGACTGGACAGCCATTTGTCTGAAATGGTATATGGTTTCCTGCCTGAGCAGGGGGTTGGACTAAACGACCTCCAAGGTCATATTTATTATATTATTATTGTTGTTGTTGTTGTTGTTGTTGTTGTTTGAACCCCAGCAGGGAAGACGTTGAGCTTAATTAAAATGGAAGTCTGGATGAAAGTTGCTTTGCTTTGCTCAGTTATTAATCTTGCCATCTGAAAAGGCACATTAAATACGAATCTGAGAACCTGAACAATTGTAGAAGGAGAGCCCTGTTGTTAACCAACGTTAACATCCCCAAACCTTATGGTCATCTGCCATTTTCTTCCCAGCGCACATCTCTTTCACCATCAAGTGCCAAAGATCGCACTCAGACTTCAGATTGGCTTCAAAAACGTCCTTTTTGTACTTCATTTTTATCTTCAGCGTAGGAATCTTGAGGAGCAGAAAAGTAACGCTGGAGTTTTTTACTTCCTACAACGGGACGGAGAAAAAGAAGAGCTGAAGAAGCCCAATGAGGCAACAAACAGTTCTGTTTTCATCTTTTTTCTCGTGGCCCCTTCCTTCCCCCCCAAAATTCTCATGGGGCAGACAGGGTAAACTGTGGGCTCTTCCAGACGTTTTTGCTATCAATGTTACACCCTGGATTGCATACGCGTGTCAATATACAGATAATCCTTGACTTACAACCAGTGCTTTTTTTCTAAAAAAAAAAAAGGTGTCGGAACTCACACACGTCATACAACCCACCTTGCCTACCCTATAAGGTTCCATCCAAAAAAGGTGCCGGAACTCCGTTCTGGGCATTCTATGACAAAAAAAGCCCTGCTTACAACCATTCGTTTAGTGACTGTTTGAAGTTACCACGGCTCTGGAAAAAGTGGCTATGGGGATTCTGCAACAGTTGTAGTACAGTAGTGGCCAAAACTGTGGAAACCTTTTGGGAAAAGTGTATTTTTGGAGGTTTGATGGCTAATACCACCACTTTTGGGGGGAATAATACCATAAAATTATATATCAACGGAAAGATAATTTAATCAAGGATGTAATGCCACAAAGATTGTTCAATTATCTGTACCGTATTCTATGAAAAGTTATAGCCAAATAACCAGGAAATGGAAGCACAACTTGCTTAGGTGGATGTCAGGTAGCTTTCCTTCCTCTGATTGTAGCTAATGAGCATGAGTGTTTAGAGAGCCAATCGGGTGTCATCCTGTTTTGGCAATGAGCCAATCAGATCACAGTAGGATTCGGTGATTGATGTCATGTATTGAAGCTGAGAGGAGGACATTTGTCAGTGTGTTATGTGATCACTATCAAGTTGGTTGGGTTTTTTTGTGTTCTTTCATTGAGTGAGCTTGTAAAACGTAATAAAATTAAAGTCATGGTGCAAAGAGTTGACTTAGTCACCCAGAAAGCGATGTAAAATAGAATTATTAAGTGAACAAGGCTACAATTATAAAGAAATGAGAAGCAAAATGGGTGGAAATCTAACCAAAAGTGGCATTTTTACTGCATACTTTTCCCAAAAGTTTTCCACAATTTTGACCACTACTGTAAAGTAGGATTGTGACAGCACCAGTCTCTGGTTACATTCTTACATCCTAGGTGGTCATTAAGAGTCAACGACAACTTAACTGGCACATAAGTAATCCCATATATAAAATAGTATATTCTAAAAGTTTAATTCTATACCTACGCATGTTGCAGACAAATGACTTCAGTTAAGTCTAACAACTACATTGGCAGATACAAGATACAATTTTGGCCACTACCGTTAAGTGTGAAAATCTGTCATAAATCACTTTTTTCAGTGCCCTTGTAACTTTGAACGGTCACCGAAGGAACTGTTGTTAAGTCTGTACTTTTGGGGGAGGCTCACCTCTATATCTCTGAACGCTGCGATGTCTTGATAGCCGGGACAGGCTCCTTCCGTCAACAGGAACAGGCGCTTCGGTGTCAGTGCGATTTTCCCAACTCCTTTGTTAGTTTTTACTGAGCTGGATAACTTATAAACACACTCGTTTTTGTCCAGGTGTTCTATTACTCGCGGAGGCAGGTTCACATCTTGGGCTTCTGCTTCTGTTTCCTTCCAATAGGTATAAAAGTCTTTAAATGTTTCCGGGTCAATTTGTTTTTGCTGCCCTTAAAAATGAACAAAATGTTTATTTACCGTAAGGAATATTTCTAGATGTCCTGTACATCAAATGCTCCAAAGAGAGGAAAAGCTGCCCAGTATAATTTTAAGGTATAGGTTCTCCTGCTTGAGCAGGGGGCTGGACTAGAAGACCTCCAAGGTCCCTTCCAGCTCTGTTCTGTTCTATTCTATTCTATTCTATTCTATTCTATTCTATTCTATTCTATTCTATTCTTCCATTCCACTCCACTCCATATTTTCTATTCTATTCTATTCTTCCATTCCACTCCACTCCATATATTCTATTCTATTCTATTCTATTTATTCTATTCTATTCTATTCCATATTTTCTATTCTATTCTTTATTCTATTCTATTCTATTCTTCCATTCCATTCCACTCCACTCCATATATTCTATTCTATTCTATTCTATTCTATTCTATTCTGTTCTATTCTATTCTTCCATTCTACTCCACTCCACTCCACTCCATATTTTCTATTCTATTCTATTCTATTCTATTCTATTCTATTCTATTCTGTTCTTCCATTCCACTCCACTCCACTCCATATTTTCTATTCTATTCTATTCTATTCTATTCTATTCTATTCTATTCTATTCTATTCTATTCTATTCTATTCTATTCTACTCTACTCTACTCTATTCTATTCTACTTGGCCCTCAAGATACTGTATTATAGGTAGTCCTTGACTTCTGACCATAACAGAGCCTGCAAATTTGATCATCAATTTTTGACAGTCATAAAAGCGGGTCACCACGTAACCGTGGCTGATTTTACAACCTTTTTTTGTGGCAGTCGTAAAGCAGACCCGTTGTTCGCCATGGGGTGTTTTTTTGCCAGAAGTAAACGCCAGTTTCTGGGGGGGGAATCACAAATCACAGTCGCGAGATTGCGAGGCGCTGCAAATGGCTGTAAATGAGGCCTGGTTGCCGACCAGCCAAAATGTGGTCACATGACCACACGGAGGACACCCGGACACCAGAAATTTGACTTTAAGTCGTAAGTCCCCTTCTGGAGGTGCGTCGTAAATTCAAGCAGTCACTAAATGACTCGTCATAAAAGTCAAGGACTACCTGTACTCAAGAAAGGGCGATTGATTGATTGAGTCATTCATTCCATTTCTATAGCTGCCCATCTAATGCAATTAACTTTCCACCAGCCGGCCTCTTCAACCAGAATGTTGTGGTTGACTTAATAGCAGTAATAAATTCGTAGTTCCAGAAAACTAGGTGGAGGAGGAAATAAAAGTCATTATACTTTTGCCCCTTGATTTCTTCTTTCCTACCTTTACTAATCCACCTACGTTTCTAGGGCGATGGCCATGTTCCATCTGCCCCAGTTTATAGCATGCGATTGTGAAGACAGTTTGGCAACCGAAGGAAACAAAGGAGGTTTTGTGAAAGAACAGAACAGAACAGAATATTCTTATCATTATTCTATTCTATTCTATTCTATTCTATTCTATTCTATTCTATTCTACTCTTATCATTATTCCTATTCTATTCTATTCTTATCATTATTCTATTCTATTCTGTTCTTATCATTATTCTTATCATTATTCTATTCTATTCTCATTATTCTATTCTATTCTATCCTATTCTATTCTTATCATTATTCTATTCTATTCTTATCATTATTCTATTCTGTTCTGTTCTATTCTTATCATTATTCTATTCTATTCTTATCATTATTCTATTGTATTCTATTTATTGTATTGTATTGTATTCTATTCTCATTATTCTATTCTGTTCTGTTCTATTCTTATCATTATTTGTATTGTATTGTATTGTATTATCATTATTCTATTCTGTTCTGTTCTGTTCTATTCTTATCACTATTTCTATTCTATTCTATTCTATTCTGTTCTGTTCTGTTCTGTCCTATCCTATCATTCTATTCTATACTATTCTTTTTTCCCTTCCATTCAAGATATATATTCATGATAGGAAAACATAAGAGCTTGAAAAATTCTAACAAAGGTTAGCATTCGAACAAGGGAGCAAATTTTCCTCCCCCCCCCCTCTTACCTACGGTTAATGCATCAAACAACCGATGGATGGTGTCAGTATCTTTGACAATCCCAGATTCCTGGATGCGCTTTACAAAGTCCTCCACCTGCATGTGAGTTTTTGGCAACTCAAATTTCTTCACGTGATCATCGGTTTTGATGACCTCTCTTTGTTTGTCCATTAGGTGACTGATCAACCTCTTCAGTTCGGGCTTCTGATCTGCCTGGGAGCGATCCAGGGCTGAGAGGTTTTCTATCAATTTTCTCACAAGCTCCGTCGGGAATATCCTGATGTCTGTCTTGTACAGATTTTGGAAGTCCGAAAGGGCACTTAGGAATTTTTTTTGCATCAGACTTATAAGTCCCCGAAGGTAGAAATACCTCGCTAGGAGCGCAGAGTTCTCCGGTGACAAAATCGTGATCGCTCTGCTCAGATGGTTAGTAAAATCGACGTAATAGGTCTGGACACACTGACCCATCAGTGGGAAGTGGATTTCTGGAATCCTGAAAGTGCTGATGGGTTTCGAAATGGATCTTTTAGCTAGAAAAGGAGAAGCAGAGAGACATTTACAAAAAGGTGCAAAGGGGTCCTGTTAAATCAGGGGTCTTCAAACCTGGCCCTTTTATGACTTGTGGACTTCAACTCCCAGAATTCCTCAGCCAGGCAGGCGTGCCTGGCTGAGGAATTCTGGGAGTTGAAGTCCACAAGTCATAAAAGGGCCAAGTTTGAAGACCCCCCTGGTCTGCAAGAAAACAACCAAGCTCAGAGAACACCAAGGACCCCTCATTTCCACCCCGAGCTATAAATGTTCTCCTTTATGAATGCTTGCAATGTTCAGATCCATCACACTGGACACAAGAAAAGTCCAGGTGAAAATCAGCGTGCCTGGCTGAGGAATTCTGGGAGTTGAAGTCCACAAGTCATAAAAGGGCAGGTTTGAAGACCCCTGCCCTAGCCTCATGATCCAGAACCCAGAAGACAGCAGCAGCCCCGTCTTCCCTTCCTATGTCTTTCTGGCTGTAGAAATTTGCCCCATCTTGACCCCTCTGTGGACGACCCATGTTCACACCAGATGCTTAACCACATCAGTTAAAACAGTGTTTCTATTCTATTCTATTCTATTCTCTATTCTATTCCATTCTTCTATTCTATTCTATTCTATTCTATTCTATTCTATTCTATTCTATTCTATTCTATTCCATTCCATTCCATATTCTATTCTATTCTATTCTATTCTATTCTATTCTATTCTATTCCCCTTCCCTTCCCTTCCATTCCATTTCATATTTTCTCTATTCTATTCTATTCTATTCTATTCTATTCTATTCTATTCCACATTCTATTCTATTCTATTCTATTCTATTCCATTCTATTCCATTCTCTATTCTATTCCATTCTCTATTCTATTCTATTCCATTCCATTCCACATTCTATTCTATTCTATTCTATTCTATTCTATTCTATTCTATTCTATTCTATTCTATTCTATTCTATTCTATTCTATTCCATTCCACATTCTATTCTATTCTATTCTATTCTATTCTATTCTATTCTATTCTATTCCATTCCATTCTATTCCATTCTCTATTCTATTCTATTCTATTCTATTCTATTCCATTCCATTCCACATTCTATTCTATTCTATTCTCTATTCTATTCTATTCTATTCTATTCTATTCTATTCTATTCTATTCTATTCCATTCCATTCCATTCCATTCCACATTCTATTCTATTCTATTCTATTCCATTCTCTATTCTATTCTATTCTATTCCATTCCATTCCATTCCATTCCATTCCATTCCATTCCATTCCATTCCATTCTCATGGTTACATAAATAAATGCCACAGTTTTCTACTAAAATAAGTAAAACAGCAATAGCAACAGCTCTTAGACTGAGCCGAGGTGGCGCAGCAGTTAGGGTGCAGTACTGCAGGCCACTTGAGCTGACTGTGTTCAGCAGGTCAGCGGTTCAAATCTCACCGGCTCAAGGTTGACTCAGCCTTCCATCCTTCCGGGGTAGGTAAAATGAGGACCCAGATTGTTGGGGGCAATGTAAACATATATATACCTTGCTTACTGGTGTACACCGCTTAGAGAGTGCTTGCACTTAAAGCGGTATATAAGTCTAATAAATAAATAAATAAATAAATAAATAAATAAATAAATAAATATGCCGCTTCACAGTGCTTTACAGCTTTCTCCAAGCGGTTTACAGACTCAGCCTGTTGCCCCTCAACAATCTGGATCCTCATTTTACTGACCTCCGAAAGATGGAAGGCTGAGTCAACCTCGAGCCGGTGAGATTCGTGACTCGAACTGCTGGCAATACTGCGTTCGAACCACCGCACCGCCATGGCTCTGATAGCAATGATAGCTATCAGGCACCTCTTCACCTTACCTTGTGTAGTGTTGATACTCCGAAGGGATGCATTCCTAGTTGGGCCATCGTTCGGCTTAATGTCGTGCAGATTCGGCAAGCTCATCCCCATGCGCCTGCTGAGCATGTACTGAGGATTAAACCTTTGAGAAATCATTTTCTCCATCGTTAGCCTTCTCGGATTACCAACCAGGAAGTTGAACCTAAAAATATTTATCATAATTAAAAAAAAGGTCCCTAACCCCCGGTCCGTGAACCGGCACCAGGCCGCAGTATGCCAGCAACCGTGCTACACAAGGAAATGAAGCCCCACCCGCAGGATGCAGGCAGCACACAAACCATGCCCCCTTCGGTCCGTGGAAAAACCTCTCTCCACGGAACCGGTCCCTGGTGCCCAATAGATTGGGGGCCACTGCCCTGTAGGGCTTCCAGATCCGGACAGATAGGCAGGTATTGGCCACTCAATCAGCCATCGTGGTAGTACACAAGGACTAGGAGACAGCAGTAGTGATAGATGTAGCAGGGCCAAGTGCAGCTGTCAATGCTGCAAATACTGTATATTCTTGCTTTGACAATATGCAAAACTGTCTGGTATTTATTGGGTTAATACTTAGCTTAGAGTGGGGGGGGGAAAAGCCCGGGGAAAGAAAGAGGAAGTAAACTTTTGACCTTCACACTAATTGGATAATGTGACCTGTGACTGCTTGAGAAGGGAGGGATTTAGCAAGAAAAGCTTGATGTCAGCGAAAGGAAGTCAGAATCTGGCATCAACACGTCCATCATGGTGACTGGCAAAATTGTAGCTCTGAAATAAAACTTTAGGAAACATGCCTGAAAGTCCTTTGAAGTGCTTCATTAGTCGGAACCTGGGACAGCAGCCTTGCCTTGCCCTGCCTCGCCTTGCCTCACCTCACCCCGCAGGACGAGCCTCCTGCCACCGCCCCACCTGCCAGAGACCCCCTGGATCTCCCCCCCAACCCTGCCCGGCCCCCACAGACGTCCCTCCCCACAAGCAACATCGAGGTGACCACGCCCACCTTGGCCAAACCCACCCAGTTCTGCCAGGACCACAGCCATGCCCACTCAGTGGGCCACGCCCATCTGGCACCCGGCAATAAATAAGTGGGTTTGGGGTTGCAGTTTGGGCCCTCGGTCTCTAAAACGTTCGCCATCACTGTACTATGATGCGAAACGCGCTTACCGGTCTTCTTCGTTTTGGGTGCTCTGCTCTAGGTAAGCAAAAGCATCCATCCTTTGGTTAAGGCGGGCTTTGAGAAAAGCGTGAAACATGTAAGTTTCCAGTACCTGCAAAAAAACGAAAAGCGTTAACAAGCAGTCCCGGGCTCACAACTCTTCGTTTTAGTGACCGTTCCAAGTTACAACGGCGTTAACCATTTTTCAAACGTGACTCTTGCAGCATCCCCATGGGGACCCCTGACGTTTGGCAACTGGCATGTACTTAGGATGGTTGCAGTATCCCGGGGTGTGTGTGTGTGTGTGTGTTCATGTGATCCCCTTTTGCAACCTTCTAACAAGCAAAGTCAATGGGGACCTGTGTGTTAACCAACTCAACTGCAGCGATTCGTGTCAGAGCTGGGTCAGGAAAGGTCATAAAATGGATCACAATTCACTTCACAAGTGAATGCTTGAGAAATCTTTGGGCTTAACTGATCATAAATCAAGGACTAGCTGTATGTATCTCCACTGTGCTAGATTACCCCAGATAGCAAATGTTTCAGAAGCTTCTCCTTGAAACTATATTATTGCATACTTACAGTAGTGGCCAAAATTGTGGAAACCTTTTTGGGAAAAGTGTATTTTTGAGCTTTGATGGCTAATAACACCACTTTCTTTTTGGAGCAGTACCATAAAATTATATATCAATGGGAAGATCATTTAATCAAGAATGTAATGCAACGAAGTTTGTTCGATTATCCGTACTATATTCTATGAAAAGTTGTAGCCAAATAACTAAAAAAAGGAAGCACAACTTGCTTAGGTTGATCTCAGGTAGCTTTCCCTTCATCTGATTGTAGCCAATGAGGGTGAGTGTTTAGAGAGCCAATCGGGTGTCATCTTGTTTTGGCCATGAGCCAATCAGATCACAGTAGGATCCAGTTATTGATGTCACGTGTTGAAGCTGAGAGGAGGACATTTGTCAGTGTGTTATGGGATCGCTATCAAGTTGGTTGGGGTTTTTTTGTGTTCTTTCATTGATTGAGCTTGTAAAATGTAATAAAATTAAAGTCATGGTGCAAAGTTGATTAGTTGCCCAGAAAGCGATGTAAAATAATATTTATTAAGCGAACAAGGCTACAGTTATAAAGAAATTAGAAGAAAAATGGGCGGAAACTTAACCAAAGGTGGCATTTCTACCGTACACTTTTCCCAAAAGGTGTCCACAATTTTGGCCACTACTGTAAAGTAGGATTGTGACAGCACCAGTCTCTGGGTTACATTCTTACATTCTAGGTGGTCATTAAGAGTCAACGGCAACTTAATTGGCACATAAGTAATCCAATATATAAAATAGTACATTTTAAAAGTTTAATTCTATACCTACGCATAATGCCGACAAATGACTTCAGTAAGTCTAACAACTATATTGGCAGATACAAGATCATCCTAGCATGTTTGGTTATGTATACTTTCCTCAAAAGATCAAATTAAAAGAAAACCATAAGTCAAATAAACATTTGTTGTTGTTGTTTTTTTTTAAAAAAATTACAACATGAACTAACAGAACAATTTATGTCAAGTTCTAGCTTACCTTTCGGTAAAAAAGCTGGTCATTTATTGCTCTTGTTTTTAAGAATTCTTCACTGTTAAATACTCTGTGTTCATAGTTCAAATGGTCCTTCACCTCTCTGTTGATAAAATAGGATTACCACAAGAATTTTTTTAAAAGGTTAGTGGGAATAGGATCGGGAACATACTCAGTGGAAGTAATTTCTTTCTTTCTTTATAAAAATTCTTTCTTTCTAAAATTTTGCATCCTGCATTTTTGGTGTATTTTAAACCATCCCAAGTAATAATTCCCCATTCATTTTATATGCACAGTGGCTATCCTTTTTAGCACTCCGCTAAACAACTAATTCCCACAACACTGTCAAACCACCAAGTGGAGCTGTATTACTATTATCCTTCTCATCTTTCCTATTTCCTTAGCTTCTTATAACTATAACTTTGATGCTTGTATCTTATGATTTATGTTGATTGTTTTTATTTGTATCCTACTATGATTTATATTGATTACTTACTTAATATCCTATGACTATCACTGAATGTTGTATCTTATGATTGATGATGGTTGTATTTTATGATTATGATCACGATTAATCACTTGTTCTATTCTATTCTATTCTATTCTATTCTATTCTATTCCATTCCATTCCATTCCATTCTGTACAAATATACATCCAAATAAATGAATAAATATTAACACCGGAAATGTTCACCAGGGTGCATTAAAACGCAACGGTAGCTTTTAAGAAGAAGAAGAATTTGCAAAACATTGGATCGCTGGTCTTATTGAGCCAATGATGCAAACTCACAGCTCATCAAATGAATCCACTCGGAATTCTCTCTCGAGGCGCAAAGGAGCCGGCTCGTCGATACCTTCATTTAATGCAGTGTTTCTCAACCTTGACCATTTTAAGGCATGTGGACTCCAACTCCCAGAATTCCACAGCCAGCAATGCTGGCTGTGGAATTCTGGGAGTTGAAGTCCACATGCCTTCAAATGGTCAAGGTTGAGAAACACTGATTTAATGCAAGGCTCCAGTTTTTCGAACAGACGCTAGCATGAAGGTTGAGGAAAGAATTAAAGGCAGCTGAAAGGGACCTTTTAACACCTACCTGAAGATATTGACGATGAACTGCAGAGCGATCTGCTGAATTTCAGAATTCAGCTTCCGTTGCCATGTTCTCCGGCGCCCTTGTATTTCAGTGAAGTCGGTGGAGGTTCCCAGGTGGGAGAGTTCCAGGTCATAGTGCAGCTGAAGGCTTTCAGATCTGCAGGAAGAAGTTACAAGTTGGCCCACAATTGAGCCCAACTCAACTGTTAAGTGTTGTTGAGTGTTAAGTGACTATGGAGGTTCTCCGTCCTCCAGATCATGGTTGTCCCAAAGGTGCTTCTTCACGAGGCAACCGGACTTCCTTTTTTCTCTCTATGTTTTGCTTCTCCTCTAAGAAGCTTCTTCAGCTCTGACGGACACAAGGTGACCTGCTTTACGACCGTCACAAGTTGCAATCAAAGCTGAGGCCTCATTGATGGTCGTTGAGTTGAGGGCTATCTATTTTTAGGTTCTTCCAGAGCCCCAATGTCTTGCTGTGCCATCTACCAGTAAAATGCCTGCTCTGAATGTGGATCTGCTATCAGGGGTTCTCAACCTTGGCAACTTTAAGACTTGTGGACTTCAACTCCCAGAATTCCTCAGCCAGCTTTGCTGGCTGAGGAATTCTGGGAGTTGAAGTCCACAAGTCTTAAAGTTGCCAAGGTTGAGAACCCGTGCTAGCTGAAAGTGTGTGTGTGTGTGTGTGTGTGTGTGTGTGTGTGTGTGTCTTGTAGGAAAAAAGTGTGCCTCCACCCACAGAACAGGTGGTCTTGCTCCTGCTAGTTCAAGATTATTTTGTCTGCTGGTCGCCTCTCTTTTTCACCGTCTCTTATCGAAACATTAAAACAGGCTAATCTATAGGAGCAGAACCCCCTATATTAGTTCTTTTAAATAAAGCTTGGACTGGTCCAAAGTCCACCATCCATCCTTTTCTGAACATCTGGATTCAGTATTTGATAAAGTAGCCAGGCACTGCTCACTCGATCAAGTTAGCCTTTGTGCCTTAATTAATTTTAAACACAGAATTTAACTGTGCGTTAATTTCCCCGAGAACAAAGAAACTTAACTGGAAAGAAACATTAATTTTCATCCCCTCCTTGTTCCATTAGTTTCCAGCTGTGATTACATAGCATATCCCAGGGGTCTTCAAACTTGGCCCTTTTATGACTTGTGGACTTCAACTCCCAGAATTCCTCAGCCAGTGTGCCTGACTGAGGAATTCTGGGAGTTGAAGTCCACAAGCAGGGGGTCTTCAAACTTGGCCCTTTTATGTCTTGTGGACTTCAACTCCCAGAATTCCTCAGCCAGGCACTCAAACTTGGCCTTTTTATGACTTGTGGACTTCAACTCCCAGAATTCCTCAGCCAGGCACTCAAACTTGGCCCTTTTATGATTTGTGGACTTCAACTCCCAGAATTCCTCAGCTAGGCACTGAAACTTGGCCCTTTTTATGACTTGTAGATTTCAACTCCCAGAATTCCTCAGCCAGGCACTCAAACTTGGCCCTTTTATGACTTGTGGACTTCAACTCCCAGAATTCCTCAGCCAGTGTGCCTGACTGAGGAATTCTGGGAGATGAAGTCCACAAGCAGGGGTCTTCAAACTTGGCCCTTTTATGACTTGTGGACTTCAACTCCCAGAATTCCTCAGCCAGGCACTCAAACTTGGCCCTTTTATGACTTGTGGACTTCAACTCCCAGAATTCCTTAGCCAGGCACGTGTGCCTGGCTGAGGAATTCTGGGAGTTGAAGTCCACAAGTCATAAAAGGGCCAAGTTTGAAGACCCCTGATATATGTCAATGTTTCTTAAACTTGGCTGCTTGAAGATGTGTGACTTCAACTCCCAGAATTCCCCAGCCAGTTGAAGTCCATACAGCTTAAAGTTGCTAATGCTGACCAACATTTGCCATACATTACTCTCTGGAATAATTCTCCGTCCAAATTTAATCAGGGTCAATAGTTGCATACAAACATCCTTTGCATGACCTTTAGGTTTCAGCCACTAACCCTGCGGCTCTAAAGCAAGGCTTGTGAATCCAGCCTCATCTTTCCTTCTGAACTTTCAGATCCCCATAATGGAAGCAAGCAAAATCATCTTGATTTTTACCGTGCTATAAAAACTCTGCCGGCCTCTGCTGGCACATCTGGAATGTCGGTCGCCTCCTCGGAGGACTTGGATTGAGCGATATCGCCAGTATCAATGTTAATTAGAATTAAGTCGTCAGCTTCCTGATGGTTACAAAAAAAAACACCAGAAAAATGAATCGTTAAAAATAAAAGTTAACACTCCACCGTGGCAGATGTCACCCTTGGCGGACTAACAGCAGAAACCATTTTAATTTTAGCTCCTCTACGGACGTTCTCTATCATCCAGGTCATGGCTGCCCCCAAAGATGCTTTTCCAAAAGGCAACTGGACTTCCTTGTGTTTTTTTTCTTGGAAAATGTTTCATCCAAGAACCGAAGAAGTCAGAACTGAAGCAGCTTTTTGAATGAGACGATTGAGGGAGGATGTTCCATAGAGCAGGGGCTGTTGCAGAAAAAAAAAACCCGTTGTTGTGAGTCCGTGCCAGCCACTGGACCCGGCAGCTGAGTCCGGAGAATCAGAGGAGGAGAAGGAGGAGGGGCCTGGAGAGCCATCAGAGTCGGAGGAAGGCTCTGATGAGCTCCAGGACTTACAATCTGATGAAAAGCCTGGCCCTTCTAATCGTGCTCAGGCTGAGACTCAGCTGTGTGGGGAAGCGGAGTCAGACTCTGAGGACTCACAGCTGGAAGACATTAGAGACGCTCGCAAATGCAGACTGGCAACAAGAGCAGAACAAAGGGAGGCAATGGGGAGACTCCAAGGGAGGAGGAGAAGGCATTGAGAAACCACGCCTTGGGACTGCATCATAAAAAGGGAAGGTGTGGGCGGTGCTGGTTGCTGAAGGCAAATGTTTGCAAAGGACTCAAGTTTCATGGAATCAGATTCTGTTTGCCTTGCCTGTGAACAATTCTCCACTTGAATCATGTTCTGTTTGCCTTGGACAATTCTCCGTTTGCATCGTGTTTTGTTTGCCTTTGCTTTTGGGACTGTACCTAACTATTAAGTCTGTACCTAACTAATAAAAGGTCTATAGCTAACTACAGGTCTGTACCTAACTAATAAAAGGGGTTTGTTTTCCCTGCATTTCCAGCCTACTTGTTAAAAGAGGGGGTTTGTCCTTGTGAGTTAACAAGGACTCACATAGCCTGGGACAGAACACCCGTCTTCTAGTCCCCGTCAGCTGGCATTCTTTGGCTGATGGGATCTGCAGCATGCCCATCCTAATGGATCCGATTGGAGGGGTAGAAACTCTTGAAAAAAGGCGATCCCTCAGGTACCCTGGTCCCAAGCCCTGGAAGGCTATACAGGTAACCACCAGCACCTTGAATTGCCCCTGGAAACACACTGGTAAATAATGCAGCTCAGACAGGTGTGGTGTTACATGTGCTGTGTGCATCTGGCGCCAGTTACTACCCACGTGGCTACATTCTGCACCAATGGAAGTTTCCGAACGGTCTTCAAGGGCAGACCATGTAGAGCCTGTTGCAGTGGCCTAATCTGGAGGTTACAAGGGCATTGGCACAAAGTTGCATTGGCACATAGTGCTGCAGAGAAAGGGCTGTCCCCTCTGAACTTCACAGCAATTCTGTAACACAGTCACTTGATAGTGCGACGGGCAGCATATGAATTTAATAAATGTAATTAAATACAAAATCTTCAATGGGGCAGCTTATATCCACTTCTGGGTTTCCTGTCGACTTAAAAATAATCGGCTCTTTCAACAGACAACCCATCTTTGGTGCATTAATGTAGAAAACCTCATTATGCGTGTGCTAATCTACTGGCCTAATCTATGGATACTGAACCGGTAACATATTTGTGTTTTTTAGTTAAAAAAACAAAAAATCAAAATCAAAAAGGGACACTTTTTTTTCCTCAGACGTTAATTTTTTTTAAAAAAATGTTTCTCTCAAGACCTTGTAATGCACATGCCGCATTTTAAAAATCTAAAGGCATCCCATAATTGACAAGCTGATAAAATGTGGTTAAGAGATTTCCTGAATGTGTAGCAATAGCAAATAATATTTTTTTATCAACTGGATAAAGAAAGGCAATTTGGTTACAGCTTTCACTGAAGCTTGTACAAAGATAAAAGTGAAGTTTGAGAGCCAGTTTGGCCATAGTGCTGAACGTGCTAGTCTAGATTGGGAGTTCTAGTCCCATCTTGGGCATGAAAGCAGGCTGGTTGACTTGGGGCCAATCACTAGGTGATGGTGAGCTCTAGTCTTGCCCTAGCCTTGAAAATTAGGTGGGTGTCCTTGAGCTAAACACCAGAAGATTATGAGTTCTAGTCCCGCCTTGCGCATGAAAGCCAGCTGGGTGACTTTGGGTCAATCACCAGGTGATGGTGAGTTCTAGTCCTGCCTTAGGCATGAAAATTGGGTGGGTGTCCTTGAGCTAAACACCAGAAGATTATGAGTTCTAGTCCCACCTTGCGCATGAAAGCCAGCTGGGTGACTTTGGGTCAATCACCAGGTGATGGTGAGTTCTAGTCCCACCTTAGACATGAAAGCCATCTGGATGATATTGAACCAGTCCCTCTCTCTCAATTCAACCCACCTCACAAGATTATTGTTGTGGGGAAAACAGAAGGACATTAGGTATGTTCAGTTCCTTGAGTTGCATATAAATTAATAAAGGTGGGATTTTTTTAAAAAAAACCTAATAAATAAGTAAGCTGTAGATCTGGATTGAATTCCCAACCAACCTTGCAAACTTCCTCAAAGTGATCGATGTGACACCCCATCAGGAAGGAGGTGGGCGCCATGACAAAGTCCAGCATCTGACGAGACAGGATTGGTACAAACGTGTGTTGCCACTGAATGGGATGGATGTACAACATGAAGCATTCGGATACCAGGGTCAGCAGGGCCCAGTCAGAGCAGAAGAAGACAATTTTCCGTTCAGTTAAAATACAAGTAATTATCTGGGAAGAAAAGAAAAACCAACAGATCGCCGTGACTTTTATGCATAGATAAAACTGCATCAGTTAATTTTTAAATGCTCTGATATTTCAGCTGCATTCCACCAGCGTCCCTCGCCGTTAATAATTCCACGGTATCTGAACGGGCACCAAAAGTGGCGCCTGAAAACTTGTTTTCCTAGTAACAGAACAGGCACATTTGAACGGACAGAAAACAACTTCTGCTCAAAATGTTTCCTGCACAACACTTTAAAAAAAAAAAAATACAGATTGTCCTGAACTTACAACCATCATGGAGCCAGCCCAGAAGGGTTGTAAGTCGCAACAGCTGTAAAGCAGGTCACCCAGATGTCCACTCTGATTTTACGACCTTTGATGTGGTGGTTACTCCGCAAGGCCACTGTCCACTATGGGCTCTACTGGGAGTTGGAAATCCCAAAGGTCTTAAAATTGCTGAAGTCGAAAAACATTGGGATAAAGTAACTCTGCACAATTTGGCAATAAAAATTATTATTATTATTATTATTATTATTATTATTGATCATCGCACAGTCAGCCAGATGTTCAGATTGGATTTGGCATTTTGTCTACCTATCGAGTCCTTACCAAGGACCTGGGATAGGCAGATGTGGATTATTATTATTATTATTATTATTATTATTATTATTATCATCATCATCATCATCATCATCATTATGGATCATCGCACAGTCAGCCAGATGTTCAGACTGGATTTGGCATTTTTGTTTACCTATTGAGTCCTTCCCAAGGACCTGGGATAGGCAGATGTGAATGTTTGATGGTATTACAGGTATAGTTGCAGGATGGAAGCGGTTCCTAGTAAGGCCGCCTTTTGAAATTGATATTATTATTGTTGTTGTTATTAAAGTTGGAAGGGACTTTAGAGGTCATCTAAGCCAGCCCCCTGCTCAGGCAGGAAACCCTAGACCATTTCAGACAAATGGCTGTCCAGTCTCTTCTTAAAAACTTCCAGTGTTGGAGCATACACAGCTTCTGGTGGCAGGTTGTTCCACTGGTTAATTGTTCTAACTGTCAGGAAGTTTCTCCTCAATTCTCCTCCATCTGAGGGAGAAAATTTCCCATCTGCTTCAAACTACCCCTCTACCTGTAAAATCTGTTCCGGTTTGAAGCAAAGGAAGGGAAGATGTAGATCCAAATCCACAAGCGGGCTGTCGGGATCTTCCTGAGATGGAAAGACGACTTGAAGAGGCTTCAGGTTAAATAGCTAGAAGAAGAACAGATGGGGGGGGGGAGTTTCATCACCACAAATGGCAGAAGGAGATTACAATTCATTTTCTAACAGCGAATCGGAGCAGAATAGGCAATGTGGTCTAAACGCAATATATTGAGGGGTCCCTGATGCTCTCTGAGCTTGGTTGTTTTCGTGCAGATGTTTCATGACCCAACTAGGGAACATCATCAGTGCTAGAAGGGAGTGGGGTATGCAGGGAGGAGGAGGACGACGACCACGATCACGACCACAACTGTGGTGCCCTTGATGTTGATGCTGGCTGAGCTTGCTTGTTTTCTTGCAGACCTTTCATTACCCCAGGCGTGTTCCAACTTGGCCCTTTTATGACTTGTGGACTTCAACACTTCAGGTCGTAAATGTGAGGTGTGGTCGTAAGTCATAAGTCACTTTTTTCAGAGCCGATGTAACCCTAACCCTAACCCTAACCCCTCACCCTTCACCCTAACCCTTAACCATAACCCTTAACCCTTAACCCTAACCCTTGACCCTAACCTTTAACCCTAACCCTTCACCCTAACCTTTAACCATAACCATAATCCCTAACCCTAACCCGTAACCATAACCCTTCACCCTAACCCTTAACCATAACCATAATCCTTAACCCTAACCCTTGACCCTAACCTTTAACCCTAACCCCTAACCCTTCACCCTAACCCTTAACCATAACCCTAATCCTAACCCTTGACCCTAACACTTAACCCTAACCCCTAACCCCAACCTCTAACCCTAACACTTAACCCTAACCCCTAACATTTAACCCTAACCCCTAACATTTAACCCTAACCCTTAACCATAACCCTAACCCTTGACCCTAACCTTTAACCCTAACCCCTAACCCTAACCTGCACTGTAAAGCAGCGATGCCCAAAACATTTTACTTTGAACTATTTTGAGGACAAAGTTTTACAAAACATTCTGTTTTTAGCGTAAATGGACACTTCAAGAATGTTCGAAACATCCCAAAGAAATCCCAATAAATGCAAAAAAAAAAAAGAGAGGGTAAATGTTTGGCCCACCCACTCCAGAGGCAACCACACAATTGATGTCAATGGGCTTCACCCTTTGAAGAAACTCTTGAAAAAACGGTAAGGGAAGAAGGCATGCATTTTCCACAGCAACTCTACCTGAAGTCTTTATATCAGTGTTTCTCAACCTTGACCATTTTAAGGCATGTGGACTTCAACTCCCAGAATTCCACAGCCAGCATTGCCAGCAGCTGGGAGTTGAAGTCCAAATGCCTTAAAATGGTCAAGGTTGAGAAACACTGCTTTAGATGGTATTAGTGAATTATCCTACACAGGCTAAATCTCTTATGCCGAACCGTCCCGTGCATACTTACATCCGATCACGCTATTCTGAGCAGTGTGCAGAAACGGTGCAAGGGGAGATAGGCTAAAGAGATAAGAAACGTTGAGATCCGGAAAAGGAAACAGAGGTCAAATCCACCTTGCCCAAAGCCGTTTCGGACCAGGAGGATCAACAAGGAAAGACTAAGAAGGCAGAAACAGCAAAGCAGAAAGAGAAGTTAAAAGGACAGAGAAATCAGTTCTTCGTTTTGATTCCCTATTAGGCAGCAAGGAAAGAACAAGATGGGGACTTTGCTGTGGGATTAATTGCACAAATATGTCCATGGGCATCTGCCCATGGACATCTCCCACAAGGGCCTTGAGATAGCAGGCGGACTGCTCCAAACACAGGATGCATACATCAGCCTTTTGGACAGACTCTGATAAGAACACCTGCGTAGCCTTGCATCTGGAGAGTGTCTGTTATTTGATATATTGTAACCACCCCTATATATGTCTTTTGATTATGCTGTGTGATGTAAAAACCTGAGTAACAATAAAAGAGGGTGCTGGAGTCAGCTCTGGGCTCCCATCCCGAGATACTTGCGTGTGTGTCTCATTCTCCATGGGAGACCACCACACTTTGCAGGGGGGAATGGAGGAAAGGGTATGTAAGGACACTTTGAGGGACGAAGGGAGGAGATGCCACCTAGCGAAAGATAAGATAAAAGAGTGGGTGGGCCTCAGCTGCGTAATGGCCAGAGAAAGAAGCCTAAGAAAGACCCACCCTAACAGATCAGGCAGATAAAAGCTATTGTGGGAGATATGTACTTTCAGGTTTACGAGATTCTGTTAATGTAACCCTACGATAAAATACAATTAGCTCATCTTGTGGTGTTTCCTGCTGGACTGACAAAGATTGAGAAGGAAGTCTTCACTGTTCCCTTCTCAAATGCTGCTGTTTTAAAAAAGTGAATAGAATAGAATAGAATAGAATAGAATAGAATAGAATAGAATAGAATAGAATAGAATAGAATAGAATAGAACAGAACAGAAGTAGAGTAGAAGTAGAGTAGAAGTGAAGTAGAATAGAGTAGAGTAGAATATAGAACATAGAATAGAATAGAATAGAATAGAATAGAATAGTAGAGTAGAATTGTAGAGTAGAATAGAATATAGAATATAGAATAGAATAGAATAGAACAGAACAGAAGAGAAGTAGAGTAGAAATGAAGTAGAGTAGAATATAGAATAGAATAGAACAGAAGTAGAGTAGAAAGTAGAATATAGAGTATAGAATAGAATAGAATAGAATAGAATAGAATAGAATAGAATAGAATAGAATAACAGAGTTGGAAGGGACCTTGGAGGTCTTCTAGTCCAACCTCCTGCTCAGGCAGGAAACCCTATACTATTTCAGACAAATGATTGTCCAATCTCTTTTTAAAGACTTCCAGTGTTGGAGCACCTATAACTTCTGGAGGCAGGTAGTTCCACTGGTTAATTGTTCTCACTGTCAGGAAATTTCTCTTTGGTTCTAGGTTGCTTCTCTCCTTAATTAGTTTCCATCCGTTGCTTCTTGTCCTGCCTTCAGGCGCTTTAGAGAACAGCTTGACTCCCTCTTCTTTGGGGCAGCCCCTGAGGTATTTGAAGACTGCTATCATGTCCCCCCTCGTCCTTCTCTTCGTTAAACTAGACATACTCAACTCCAGCAACCGTTTTTTGTATGTTTAGCCTCCAGCCCCGTAATCATCTTTTTTGCTCTTCTCTGTACTCTTTCCAGAGTCTCAACAACTTTGTTACATCGTGGTGACCAAAACTGGATGCAGCATTCCAAGTGTGGCCTTGCCAAGGCCTTGTAAAGTGGCATTAACCCTTCACGTGATCTTGATTCTCTCCCTCTGTTAATGCAGCCCAGCACTGTGTTGGCTTGTTTCTTGCCAAAATGTAGAACCTTACTTAACAATCCTTGCTTGCACTAAAGCACAGGAAATCATAAAGTAGAGTATATTTTAAGTATTTACCAGATGAAGCTGCCCAGGAGGAGGGCTGGGTATCAAGGATAACCTTGCTGCAAATTCTTTTAGATGTTGCTCGATTTCTAAGTCTTTGTAAGGCTTCAGCCGTAGCAATAAGCTGCAATTAAAAAAAAAAATAACAGCAAGGAATAAGAAAACTGTTTGAGTAGAAGTCGCTTGAAAAGAATTCTCGTGCCTTTCAAACGTTTGCTTCTTCTGCAAACAACGTACCACTTCATTGCTCTTTAATTGTGCACGAATGCAATTCTGATTGTTCCTACCCAAATACGGCGCTTAGCTTTTATGCAATTAAGCTTGCAGAACAATTCATGCAAATTTACTCTAGTTTCGCAGCTCCGCTCCTGCCAGCTTAATGACTTATTATTACCATATGAAATTAAAAGTCCAGGCAGTAGAACATAACATTCAACACATCGCTTAAACAATTTAGAAGCTGCAAATTTATAACAAGAGGGATCGGTCCTCTTCTGTTATCAAAATCTCTAAGAAACTACTTACAGTAGTGGCCAAAATTGTGGAAACCTTTTGGGAAAAGTGTACAGTAGAAATGCCACCTTTGGTTAAGTTTCCACCCATTTTCCTTATAATTTCTTTAGAACCAGCCTACTTGTTAAGTGCACAGCCAGGAATGTGATGCGGGTAACCATCTCCGCAGGTGAATCATTAGTGCGCAGAGAAGTGTGGCTGTGCCTGCCTTTGGTCAGTTGTCATGGGAAACTAACCAAAGGCAGGCACAGCCGCATAGTTCCCAGAGACCGGTGAGGTCCCACAGATTGGGCCTCCTTCAGGTCCCATCGGCCAGACAATGTCGGCTGGCGGGCCCTCGGGGAAGGGCCTTTTCTGTGGTGGCTCCGACGTGGTGGAATCCACTTCCCCCCGAGATTCGAACTACTCCCACCTTGCCGGCCTTCAAGAAAGCTATTAAAACTCTCCTGTTCCAGCAGGCCTGGGGTTGATGTCCCCGGAGGGGGGGCCGGGATACGATTGGGACATGCTGTGTGAATGCACTCCTTTTTATTGTTATATTTATTGTTTTAATTTTGTACACCGCCCTGAGTCCCTAGGGATTGGGTGGCATATAAATTTTACTAATAAATAAATAAATAAAACCATCCAATGGAAATCAACACGATTTCTCATGGAAGAAATCGAAACTGTGAAAACGGAAATCACGTTCAGAGGAGGAGGTCCACATCAATGCTGAATTATCACGGTATTAATTAGTCGTCTGGGTTAAGCGTCCTTCGACTTCCTCTTCCCAGCCTGTTTTGACAATTCTTGTAATTGCTAAGAAAATCCTGGCTCTATCCCAGCCATCTCTGCTTGCCCTCGGAAAGAAAAAAGCCACCCCAATATTTGTCCTTACCAAGACAAGCAGTCCTTCAAGGCGTTGAAATAAGGGTACCTGGATATGACACAAACGGCAAATGGTACAAAATACGACTCGGCTTTGGAGTGCGGAAGGTTATCCCAACGTGCCTGTCCGTTATAAAGGCGTCCCTCCTAAAGAAAAACACAACAGCTGGTGAGTTGCTTGTCTTTCAAAGAATCCAGTCTTCAAGAAAGGAAAGGGGGTATTATTCACAGACACACAGAGACATCACAATTACAGTATGACAGAATCAGGTCATTCGACTGACGGCTGAATCGGGCCTTTTGAGTGCTGCTCAACTGGGACAACACTTCAATGTGGATGTTTCTCCCGAGTGATGCTTGGTTGGCTCCTTTGCCATCTGTCTTTCAAACAAAAAATTGAAGATAAGGCCTTTTCACCGGGGGCATTTCCAGAATAACAACGACTCCAAGGCCAGGCTCTCTTAAAAAACGCCTATTTTCTTTATTTCAGATTTCTATTGTTTAAATTAACTTTGCTTTTAATTTTGTATTTGTATAATATAGGTAAAGGTTTCCGCTGTCCAGCCATGGACTCTAGGGGGGGGGGTGCTCTCTGTTTCTTAGCCAAGGGAGCCACGCTTTCCGTGGTCATGTGGCCAGCATGCCTGTGTCTTGCTGTTGCCTCCCCGCCAAAGTGGTACCTATTTATCTACTCGCATTTGCATGCTTTGGAACTGCTAGATAGGCAGGAGCTGAGGCAAGGAACGGGAGCTCACCCCTACACAGTGCTGGGGTCTCAAACCTGGGCTGTCAGCTTTCCAGCTGACAAGCTCAGCATCTTTAACCACTGAGCCATCACACCCCTTCTATCTATTACGTGTAAGCTACCTAAGACCACACCTGGAATACTGCAGCCAACTTTGGTCACCATATCAGTAAAAAGGTGTTGAGAGTTTGGGGGAAAAATTCAGAAAAGAGCAACTAAGAATGTTGGAATATTCATGCACAGGAAGAGTCATGTCGTAACTCAGTCAGCCAATGTGAAGAAAGTGCTGCTGAGTCTGTGCAAAAAAGAGTATTGAGTTAGGAGCTGGATTTCCAGTCTCAAGGTCTGTCTCTGGTCTGTCTCTGTAAGAAGTCTTCGTTAAGCTATGTTGCTGTAAAGAAGAATGGTATTGTAAATATTTTATATAAATATAAAGTTATTTGAATCAGCTAAATGCAGTCAACTGTGAGAGCTTCTGATTTATTTTTCACCAATAGAGAAATTAAAATTCTCTAACATGATCCAAGACCTGGAGGCTAAAACATACGAAGAACAGCTGCGGGACTTGGGTTTGGCTAGTCTAAAGAAAAGAAGAAATAGGGGAGACATGATAGCAGTGTTTCAGTATCTGAGGGGCTGCCACAAGTCAGAGTGGGTCATGTTGTTTACCACAGCACCAGAGGGAAGGATGAGAAACAATGGTTGGAAACTGACCAAAGAGAGAAGCAACCTGGAATTAAGGAGAAATTTCCTAACAGTGAGGACAATCAACCAGTGGAACAGCTTGTCTCCAGAAATCATGGGTGCTCCATCACTGGAGATTTTTAAGAGGAGACTGGATATTCATCTGTCTGAGATAGTATAGGTTTTCCTGCTTGAGCAGGGGGATGGACTAGAAGACCTCCATAGTCCCTTCCAGCTCTATTCTATTCTATTCTATTCTATTCTGGTCTGGTCTGGTCTGGTCTGGTCCACTCTACTCTATTTATGATTTATTGAAGGCAAAGGTAGAAGAGGATGGCAGAGGATGAGATGATCAGTTAGATGAACATGAATTTGGGAATTTGGGCGAGGACGGGAGCTCATCCCATCGCACAGCACTCCAATATCTGACCCTGGGCTATCAGCTCTCCAGCTGACAAGCTCAGCTTCTTTAACCACTGAGCCATCTCATTTGTATAATAGATTTGTCTATAAGTGTTGAAGCACCCATTAAAAATGAAATTTAGTTGCTTGCTCTCAAGTATACACATACCTAACACACATTTAAAACATACTATATACAACGTATGGTATAGACCTAACCCCTTACATATAAGTAAGGTATAAATATGAATCACTCTCCATCTTGAATACATAACGGAAAGAGGAAGCTTGAGAGTGCACAAGGCTAATACTGTATGGAACAAAACTGGATGTTCTGCTTCGGGTAACACGGAGCCCCCTCCTCCCAGAAGGGAACAGGGAAAAGCGGTCGTGAAGAGGGTACGTCGTGTCCCAGACAATCTTGCGGACCGTGCTCAGGCAACGCTGTCATAACTTCAAATGATTGCCAAGGGACTGGACGTTAAGACAAGGACTAACTTTCATCAATACATTCTGAAACCAGTAAATGATCCAGCTTACTTATAGGATAACTTTATTACGGCCAAAACAGCCAATTAAAAAAAAACACACATACTTGTATTGTCTGGTAATACTGGACCACAACTCCGTAAGTCCGGTTTCCAAAAACATCGGTGAAAACGAGAAAATGAAAGTGGTCCTCTCTCGACTCACACGTGATATAAAATCCTCCTGTTAAAAAAGAAAGAAAAAAAGCCTTGCAGAAAAACAGCACAAGACACACACAACACGGCATCAGAGAAAGGACCGTAATGGATGTATTTATCAACCTCTGAACGTGTAGCAGAGCTGACAAAAATCAGCCCTCTTTAACAGCAGGAGGTCCTCAATTTGCGACCACAAAGGGGAGCAAAGTTTATGTTGCTCAGTGAAAGAGTTAAGTGAGTTTTGTCCCGCTTTACACACCTTTCCTGCCACAGTTGTTAAGTGAATCGCTGCGGCTGTTAGTCACAGGGCGGTGAAGTGAATCTGGCTTCCCCACGGACTTTGCCAGGGGGTTGCAAAACCAGAATTATTTTCGTTAGGAATAATAGGAGCTAATTATGAGAAAGATTGCAGATATTTAATACTACACCAGTGGTGGCGAACCTGTGGCACGCGTGCCAGAGGTGGCACTCGGAGCCCTCTCTGTGGGGTACGTGTGCTGTCGACCCAGCCCCACCTATCTGTGGCCCCCTCACCAGCAGCCTCCCTGGAGGAGAATCACCCCCGGGTGCGGCCCACACGGAGCAGCGCAGCCATCGACATAACTGGGCAGCAGGGACACGACTCCGCCCTTGTACCCCATAGCGTGCAGATGATGCTGCGGGGCGTGGGCGGAGGACGTGGCTGCCATGGTACTGCAGGGCTGCCTGGGTGATCTGCTGCAGGCCATGGAGGCGGTGCGTGTCCCTGCAGGTGGGCGGGGCAGAGGGCGGGTGGGGGCGGAGCAGGCCAGGTGGGAGGCGGGGCGGGGGGCAGGTTTTTGGGCACTGGATCTCTAAAAGATTCGCCATCACTGTACTACACGTACTAACGGCGGCAAGAATTGTATTTGCCCAACATTAGAAAAATGAAAACTTACCAGCTGAAGAAGTACTAATTAAGACAATTCTAGAGTGTGCAGAAATGGATAGATTGACTTTAAAGGGAAAAGAGAAAGAAGACTCAATCTACTTTAGAACGTGGGATATAATTTCTATCAATGGCTAGAAAGACGAATTAGAGAGAAAGGGACGCGATATGTAATTTTGAATCTATATTGGCAAGATTGAGTGATTAATTAACCTTTTTTATGAGAATTAACTATTTTCTATTGTTGTTTGTTAAATACGTGAACCCAGACATTATGCTGTTTGCTAAATATTGAGAATGTTACTTGGAAAAACCCCAATCCTAACCTGAATCCTAACCCCAACCCTGACCCCACCTTATTCCTAACCCCATAAAAACTAATAAAATCTATACCCAAAAAAAAAAAGGTTGCAAAAGGGGATCACTTGACTGTGGGATGCTGCAACAGTCATAAGTATGAACCAGTTGTCAAGCGTCTGAATTTTGATCAGGTGACCCCGGGGATGACACAACGGTCGTTAAGTGTGAAAAACAATCCTAAATCCCTCTTTCCAGTGCTGTCGTAAATTTGAACGGTCACTAAACAAATGGTTGTAAACCGATGAGTAACGAACTGGATTACTATGGACTAAACCAAGTAATTCATTCATTTGTTTATTTATAGCAGGGATCTCCAACCGCCGAGCTATGGACCGGTACTGGTCCACGGCATGCCAGAAACCAGTTGGCACAAATAAGCAAAGCTCCATCCGTGGGATGCAGACAGCACGTGGAACCATGCCCCCTCCGGTCCACGGAATATCTTCTCTCCGTGGAACCAGTCCCTGGTACCCAAAAGGTTAGGGACCGCCAATTTACAGCATTTCTAGGCCACTCTGCTCCCAATTAATTCCAAGTGGAAAAACAACCGTTAAAATCATCCACAGCTGAAGCCAACAATGATAGTAAAATTGCTGCTGAAAAGAAAACAATGAACATATTCTCCGTGGACCAATGAAATAAACCCATTTTAATCTGTCAGGTGGATTCAGCAGATCCTGCTTTGCCCACAACCCATGTAACACAGCAAATAAGACTCTCCAAGCATACCCTGTTGTGACTATTAAAGGGAAGGCACATTTTATTCTGCCATGGCATTGGTTTGTCCATCCATCCATCCATCCATTCATCCATCTATCCACCCGTACAATTTCTATAACCCCCAAACTCAACCAAGTGATTCTGGGCAGCTTACAGTTCTACAATTATAAAACTCTTAAAGCAATTTGAAAGGCATGAAAACAATGAACACATCCACAAAATAAATATAACTTGATGTTCTCCAAGAACACTCTGAAGCTTTCACAGGATGACACATTTTAGTCTTAAAGGACGTGCAAGGGAAGCAGAGTTGACCCACTGGTCCAAAGTAAGACAGAACAATATCTGAATAATCCTCACAAATCATCTTCAGACATTTAGAGGCAAGGCCCCAGAATCAAGACTCATCACAGGATATTTTCAAACGTGTTGCGTGTGCCGCACAGGGTAGATCACGTGGTGTTGTGCTGGTTGACTTCCTTTGTTGAGGGTCAATCATTATTATAGCAATAGCACTTAGACTTATATAGCGCTTTATAGTGCTTTATAGCCCTCTCTAAGCGGTTTACAGAGTCAGCATGTTGCCCCCAACAATCTGGGTCCTCATTTTACTAATCTCAGAAGGATGAGTCAACCTTGAGCTGGTCAGGATTGAACTCCCGACAGTGGGCAGAATTAGCCTTCAATACTGCATTCTAACCACTGCACATCATGGATGGATGGATGAGCAATAGCAAAAGCACTTAAGACTTATATACCGCTTCACAGTGCTTTATACAGCCCTCTCTAAGCAGTTTACAGGTCTAGCGTGTTGCCCCCAACAATCTGGGTCCTCATTTTACCGACCTCGGAAGGATGGAAAGCTGAGTCAACCTTGAGCCAGTCAGGATTGAACTGCTGGCAGTGGGCAGAGTCAGCCTGCAATCCTGCATTCTAGCCGCTTAGTTTATTTTGATTCTATTGATATGGCAAACTTTTGCATGTTTTGATTTATTATTGTTCACATTTCTCTATACAGCAGTCAGGAAACCTTCGGTGGTTTACATAAGATGCAAAACTAATAAACCATCCGTGGTATGCAAATCCATAAAAACAATAAAAGCAAACATCTACCAAATTTAAAAATATAAACATTAACAACAGAAGTTAGAAATGGCATGATAAAATCAGGGGACAGCTGTCCAAAACAACACCTTCAAAAATTTTCCAAAATACCAGCAAGGAGAGGGGGGGGGGGCCAACAACCTGATCTCTACCGGGGGGGGGGTTGTTCCATAGTGCTGGCACTGCCACAGAAAGCAGCCCCTTCTCCCCACATCCCATGAACCTCCCCAAAAATGTGGGATCGATCATTATTTCTTCCCGTTGGATACGATCACTCAAGCTGGAGAAGATCGTGCCAGATCTTGCTGTGAGCCACGAGGAGTTTGGCAGTGCATAAGACGAAGGAATAAACAAACAAACAAACAAACCAGATTAAAAAAAACCTTAATTTGAGATGTGAAGCCAGCCTCTACAACCTCACCAGCGTACAAGTAGTCCTTGGCTTATGACCATTTGTTTAATGACTGTGTCAGGGTAATAATGTAACAGCTAAACAGCTTATGTAAAGATGGAATGGAATGTGAATGATGCAATGACAGGATGATGCTGTGGGAAGTTAGCCCCCCCACCCCCAGTGAAGGAAATATTAAAGAGGCAGAAAAGCATGCCCAGTTTTCCTAATAGCCCCAAGTCTCCCTCCCCCAAGCAGAAACCAGCCCTGTAGAAATGCAGATGTAAACCATTCAGGAAGGTTGGAGGCCCCCAGCTAGAAGATTAAGAAGACAAAGACACCTAAAATCTACATGCCCCACCCAAACTCTAGGACAGGACATAATAGGATTAACCCACAGATGCCAAAGGGCACACTCAGACTCAGGTCAAAGTTCATGCCACAGGAACAACTCCAAACAAAAGGCTCCAAAGGGTATCAAAACCCACTCCCTACATGTGCTTGCTCTCTTTTTTTCCCAGAGCCATCTTTCTGTCTGACTCTCCTCTTCAATAAACGGCAACCTTCTTTCTAAAGCAGTCGCCATGTTGTTTATTCCCGGCTTGGACTGAACCATGATGAAGACTTTTCCTTTAATAATACAATATTAGGAATGATTCAGCAGGGTCTGTGTCTGTGCCTTTAAGAGGCTGAGTATAAAAGGGGAGTTTTTTACTGGAGTTTTTCTCTCCCTGACTGCTGTAACTGCTGTTATTAGAGTTTGCTGTTTCACCATGTGTATGTATTGTGTTTCTAGCGTATATTTGTAGATAATAATAATAATAATAATAATAATAATAATAATAATAGTAAAGTTGGAAGGGACCTTGGAGGTCATCTAGTCCAACCCCCTGCTTAGGCAGGAAACCCTATACCATTTCAGACAAATGACTATCCAGTCTCTTCTTGAAAACTTCCAGTGTTGGAGCATTCACTGCTTCTGGAGGCAGGTTGTTCCACTGGTTAATTGTTCTAACTGTCAGGAAGTTTCTCCTCAGTTCTAGGTTGCTTCTCTCCTTGCTTAGTTTCCACCCGTTGCTTCTTGTCCTGCCTTCAGGCGCCTTGGAGAATAGCTTGACTCCCTCTTCTTTGGGGCAGCCCCTGAGATATTGGAATACTGCTATCATGTACCCCCTCATCCTTCTCTTCATTAAACTAGACATACCCAATTCCAGCAACCATTCCTTAGATGTTTTAGCCTCCAGTTTTAGCCTCCAATTATCTTTGTTGCTCTTCTCTGTACTCTTTGTAGAGTCTCAGCATCTTTTTTGCATCGCGGTGACCAAAACTGGATGCAGTATTCCAAGTGTGGCCTTACCAAGGCATTGTAAAGTGGTATTAACACTTCATGTGATCTTGATTCTATCCCTCTGTTAATGCAGCCTAGCACTGTGTTGGCCTTTTTGGCAGCTGCAGCACACGGCTGGCTCATATTTAGATGATTGTCCACTAGGACTCCGAGGTCCCTCTCACAGTTACTGCTATTGAGCAAGGTACCTCCTAAACTATACCTGTGCATTTGGTTTTTCTTGCCTAAATGTAGAACCTTGTAGACAGTGTGCTATAAATCACCATTTAATTACAAACCACTGTGTACTGCATTTACTCCGGGGTTACCTCAGCACAATAGGACTGTGCATGCTCTGACAGACTGTTTGAAGTTACCATGGGGCCGAAAAACGTCACAACTGCTCCTTGCACTGCACTACCACTGCAGCATCCTCGCAGTTACATGATCAGAATTTGGGAACTTGGCAACTGACTTGTTATTTGCGACGGTTGCAGCTCCCCACGGTCACGTGATCCATCATTTGTGACCTTCCCAGAGGGCTTCCGACAAGCAAAGTCAAAATGGGAGAAGTTGGATTCGCTTAATGATTTAACAACCAGGACAAAAAGGTCATGAAACTGAGTGTGACTCACTTAATAACTGCGTTGCTTAGTGACAGAAGTTCCTGTCCTAACTATGCTTGAAAATCGGGGACCATAGGTGGCTGCAAATGTTAGCGGACCTCGATACTGGTTGCTCAAACGCAAGTCACACAAAATCTTTAGTCACACGCTCAGGCCTATGCAAAGAGGTGACTTATACCAGGGGTCCCCAACCCCCGGTCTGTAGACCGGTATTGGGCTGCGACATGCCAGCAACCGGGCTGCACAAACAAGCAAAGCCCCATCCGCGAGATGCAGGCAGCACACAAAACCACGCACTCTCCAGTCCGCGGAAAAACCTCTCTCTATGGAACCGGTCCCTGGTGCCCAAAAGGTTGGGGAACTCTGACTTCACGCAACTTATAAATAAAAAGAAATACCTGGAAAGCAAAGCTGAAGCAATCCATTCAGGTCGACATCTTTGGGGATGGTGATGTCTTCATCCTCCGGTGTCTTGGGGGCTCCATTCAGAGCCTTTGCGTCCTCCGTCTTAAATTTCTCTTTCTTTTTCCGGAAAGAACGGCGCTTCGCTTTATTGAGAGCATTGCTATTTAAAGGAAGAGCTTGCAGGTCTTCCTTGCTGATAAACGGAGGCACAAAAACGGAAAGAATCTCCGGTTCAAGTGGAACGGTTCTCACGTCCTTTTGTTGTGCCAGCTAAAATAAAAAAAAAATTAAAAAATGCCAGAATCAAGATATTGTGACGGGCAGTATGTTAAATCACCTTTTAATATTGAGCATCTTCCAAATACTTTTAGGTAGCGCTCAGAAGCCTCCTTGAATCTCACCTATTTACTGCTAAAATGCTCATGTATGTTTGATCGTTTGTAACTTTCAATTGGGTGAACTGGGGCATCGTAGGGCCACAAATTTTGAATCGGCACTCCTCAAATGTACTAACTTGAAGAATGTGTCCAAAATCCTGGACCTATGACTCCCATGGGATTGACATTTGGCAAAGTTATGGACCACTTCAGTGCCGTTTTGCTGCCACAGTCAGCCATTGTCACATGATCGTCAGTTCCTTGTTAGCTTCCCAAAAGGAAAGCCAGCAGGAAGTCAGACGTCTGAAGCCGGCATGCAGGTAAATGGCTGCAGCTGAATTGGGGAGGGGGTACACAGGGCAAGTGCCATATAGGTCAGGGGGGGGGTATGCAAGGGACACCGGATGGGTCGGAGAGAGTACAAGGGGATATGCAAGTGTTCTCTGAAATGACCTAATGGGTCACAGGTTCTCTAATGACTGCTAAAAACTGAAGATACCTTCAGATGGGAAACCAATAAAAGCTATGACATAGCCCCTAGAACAGGTACGTAACAATTATAAAACGAAGAATTCCCCTATAGTCCTGCCAACGGAATGGAATGGAATGGGGTGGAGTGGGATGGGGTGGAGTGGAATGGGGTGGGGTGGAGTGGAGTGGAATGGAATGGAACAGAATAGAATAGAATAGAAAATATGGAATGGAATGGAATGGAATGGAATGGAATGGAATGGAATAGAATAGAATAGAATAGAATAGAATAGAATAGAATAGAATAGAATAGAATAGAATAGAATAGAATAGGGAATGAGAATGGGAATAGAATAGAATAGAATAGAATAGAATAGAATAGAATAGAATAGAATAGAATAGAATAGAATAGGGAATGAGAATGGGAATAGAATAGAATAGAATAGAATAGAATAGAATAGAATAGAATAGAATAGAATAGAATAGAATAGAAAATATGGAATGGAAGAATAGAATAGAATAGAATAGAATAGAATAGAATAGAATAGAATAGAATAGAATAGAATAGAATAGAATAGAATAGAAAATATGGAATGGAATGGAATGGAATAGACAGAGTTGGAAGGGACCTTGGAGGTCTTCTAGTCCAACCCCCTGCTCAGGAAATGGTATAGGAAACCCTATACCGTATACCATTTCAGACAAATGGTTATTCAATCTCTGCTTGAAAACCTCCAGTGTTTGAGCACTCACAACTTCTGGATGCAGGTTGTTCCGCTGATTGTTCTAACTGTCAGGAAATTTCTGCTTAGTTCTAGGTTGCTTCTCCCCTTGATATTATTTAACCGTGAACCAAAACCTATTATTAACTTACTTAGTAGTAATAGCCCACTTTTATCATACAATTCAAGATGGTGCAAGTAATGCTCCCATCTCCCACTTTCCACACCACAACATCCTAGTTCTGTGAGGTGGTTGAGCTGAAAGGGAACGGCTGGCCCAGATGAGGTTTCCATCCCTAAGGGAGGACTAGAATTCACAGCCTCTCGTTTTAAAGTCCAGCACCTTTGCTACTACACCAAACTACCTCGGTGACCCCCTTGACATTGTAGCCCTCAGCACTTTAAAATTATAAGTATGGTCCTTGAATATCTTTGCCCATCAAGTTGTAAATTATCACCAAAAGGCACAAACCAAAGAGCTAAACATTTAGTGTAATCTTTATTTTCGAGAATGCTACGGTATCCCAGAACCAGGCAGAGAAAATGTAAACAATAGCATGCAACTGATGTCATTACAAAACTCATTCACTTGCATGCAAAAAAATTCATTTGCATTTGTAAAAAGGCCATCACACCTACAAACTGTTCTCAATTTAGAGTGGAACTGGTTTGGTTTATATAATCTTAGGGGGAAAAAATGCTTCATGCTCAAGTGTTGTTTTTTAAAAAAAACATTTCTACAATTTTCAAGAAGACCTCAAAATCCTGCTCCAGGGTCTTTCCAGCAAGTTTTAATTAACGTATTCATAACAAATCGGCGCCATCTTGCAGCAATTGTATTTTCTTTTGGAATTTCATTCCGAAGCTGCCGTTTACTCTTCGTCTGAGCAGGTCTGTATGTTTGCATTTTAATGTTAAATGTTATTACAGTTCATGTTTGTATAAATCATGGCTTTTCAACTTTTTCATCCATTGTACCACTTTTAGGATATGGCAATATCCGAGTACCACCAGTCGCCTAACAAGGTGTCAAAAACTTGATGACCAAAAAAAAGGGGGGGAGGGAGTGATAAAGTACAGGTAGTCCTCGACTTACAACAGTTCGCTTACAATGGCACTGAAAAATGTGCCCCCCAAGCCACAGCCGAGCAAGACACCTGCCTGCCCGCCCGGCAGCGCTCTTCCTTCTATCCGAGGTTTTCATTGTTGTGAGCATTTCGGTTGAGGATTGGCAGTGGGGGTGGGGTGGGGGTGTTTGGTTTTTATCCCCCCCCCCGTCTGCTGGGTGGTTGCAGCAGGTTTTGGCCATTTCACATGACCCTGGGACACTGTGACCGTCATAAATATGAATCAGTTGCCAAGCATCTGAATGTAAATCACAAGACCCTGGAGATGCTGCAACATTCCAGCTGATCGGCGCTTCTTCTGGGCTCAGCAGAAGCGCCAGGATCAGCGTCGAGCTCCAGCTGGAGCCTGGCGCTGATCCGGCGCTTCCACTGAGCCCTGACAGCCCTGCAGCTCCAGCCGTCTCTCGCTCAGGCTTGTGCGGTGCTGCCACCGGTTCACCTCATTCCCCTCCCCCACTACTTTTCTAGGATGGTCACGTACCACCTGCCAGGTGCCAATGTACCACACGTGGTACCCGTACCACTGGTTGAAAAGCCCTGGTATAAATAGTGTTTGATTTTGTTTATCTCTTATGAGATTGTCTTATCTCCCAAGGACTGCCGGAAACCCCTAGTCACACATCTCAATGCTCTCTGGCCAGGAACTAACGTTCTAGGAATTATTTCTTTTGTTTTGTTTTTCTTGTTTATTGCCAGAATGATAGGAGAGGGTGCAAGCCCCATCGCTCTTACATCCCCAGGCACTACTTGCAAGATAAATAGTGGTCACAGAAACAACTACTTTACTATCCCAAGCAAGAGGTGGGAGAGAGTGTGATAGTCCAATGACTTCTGGGAGAGGGATTGAGACCTCCAGCTTCACACTCTATAGCAGAGCTATCCAACCTTGGCAACTTTTAAGACTTGTGGGCTGGGGAATTCTGGGAGTTGAAGTCCACAAGTCTAAAAGATGCTAAGGTTAGGCAGCCCCGCTCTATAGGATCAGCCATTATTAACAATGAACTCGTAATGTACATCCACACAATAACCTTAAATACAGCACCCATCTCTCTCTCTCCCTCTCTCTCTCTCTCTCTCTCTCTCTCTCTCTCTCTCTCTCTCTCTCCCTCCCTCTCTCCCTCTCTCCCTCCCTCTCTCTCTGTGTATGTGTGTGTGTGCATACATGCGCTCACAAGGGGAATCTTTGTGCTTTCAGAAATCTATGCTTTCTTCTCTTCCCACTTTTTGGCAATAATAATATGCTTTTAAATGCTGAACGGTATAATGGGTTAAATAACTGAGGAACTAGCTGAACAAAAGTAACCTGCTCATAAATGGAAAAAATGAGATTTTTTCTTTTTTAAAAAAGATAGGATGAACAATAGTACCCTGGGAAATTTTCTCAGTTGTTTTTCCTCATAAGTTGATTGGAAATAGTTTTATGAACTCTGATGACTCAGCCTGGAGAGAGAAAGAGATTGCGCCATCGCATTACAACATGTGCTGTAACAGAATTAGAAGGAAATAAATCATCTCGTTCTGAGCAAAGAAGCATACTTTAGACCAGGGGTAGGCAACCTCGGCTCTTTTATGACTCGTGGACTTCAACTCCCAGAATTCCTGAGCCAGCATGGCTCAGCTTGGAAACCTCTCCATTGCCCCTCAGCGTGGCTGGCTGAGGAATTCTGGGAGTTGAAGTCCACCAGTCATAAAAGAGCCAAGGTTGCCTACCCCGGATCTAGGTCTATCTATCTTATCTATCTGTCTGTCTGTCTGTCTATCTGTCATCTAGGTCAGGGGTAGGCAATCTTGGCTCTTTTATGACTGGTGGATTTCAACTCCCAGAATTCCTGAGCCAGCATGGGGGAACTATGGCCCCCTCATGATTCGTGGACTTCAACTCCCAGAATTCCTGAGCCAGCATGGCTCAGCTTGGAAACCTCTCCCTTTCCCCTCAGCATGGCTGGCTCAGGAATTCTGGGAGTTGAAGTCCATGAGTCATAAAAGAGCCAAGGTTGCCTATCCCTGATCTAGGTCGGTTGTTCGGTGGTCTGTCTGTATGTCTGTCTGTCTGTCTGTCTATCTATCTATCTATCTATCATCTAGGTCAGGAGTAGATAACCTTGGTTGTTTTATGACTCGTGGACTTCAACTCCCAGAATTCCTAAGCCAGCATGGCTCAGCTTGGAAACCTCTCCCTTTCCCCTCAGCATGGCTGGCTCAGGAATTCTGGGAGTTGAAGTCCACGAGGCATAAAAGAGCCAAGGTTGCCTACCCCTGCTTTATACCATGCCAAGTATAACTCTGTGTCTCAACCTTGGTATCTAGCATCATTCTCATCATACCTCACATATTGCAAAATTACAGTGGGTGTGAAAAACCTGGCCACCTATTTTCCCTCTACACATAGTCCTCAACTCACCACCACAATTGAGCCCAAAACTGCTGTTGCTATGCTAGTCAGCTAAGCGAAGTTTTGCCCCATTTTATGACCTTCCTTGCCCCATTTTTAAATAAATCGTCGCGGTTGTTAAGTTAGGAACATGGTTGCTTCCCCCACTGACTTTGCTTGTCAGGAGGATTGCAAAAGGGGA